TACCCGAACTTTACTATGGCCTTGACTTTACATTCACGCTTAGTGGGGCTACTGCTTAGATGAGGATCGAACTTGAAGAGGACCTTTTCAATGAGGCTGAGGGGAGATCGTTCACATTGAGTCGCGCTTGAGTGAAGGTTACTAGAAGGGGTATAAGAATACTATTCCCATCAACAAACAAACTATAAAAGGCTTGTCCCATGCAAGAATATTTTGCGATGGCATATAGTAGTTACCCGTTTTGATCCTATGAGTGACCCTTTTTGGGAGGTAGAATATAGACAGAATGAGATTTGAAGAAATATGGTCGTAGCATGTTACTATCTAGGTTGTGTTAGAGTAGGCGCCGTAGGACTCTGTCAGGGAAGTGTATAGGGGGTGGTCGAAAGGGGGCATGTAGGGTGCATTTGTGAAATACATGCTCTGTGCATTATTAGCCAATGATCAACCGCGCGTAGTCAAAGTTGGGTGAAATAATTGGTGGAATTTGCCAGTGCTTGTGACCTAGCGTTGGTTGGTGAGATTCAGGTTCCCTATGAACCAACTGGATTGGAAGCTAATCTGTCGTTGGGGAACATGGAGGTTTACCACGCTCATGCAACAGGCTTCACCTTCTTTGTGCCTTAAACAACTAACCTTGTCCCTTCTTAAATCAACCGTTATGGTAAATCTTGTATTTGAGACAGGCTATACTCCGTGGGTCACCCTAAGACAGAACAAACTTTCCTTAATATCACATATGTATGTAATGGCAAGTTCTTATGTCCCAGTAACACGAGGTGTTTAGAAGCTATTTGAGACCTGAGACACGATATTGGCTGCTGATTGGATGGGCATGTGGAGGTCAAGGACCTGTGGTTGACCTCCCACGGCAATTTACGGGGTAAGAGAACAGGTAATTTGGGGAGTAATTCTCTAGGCCCATCTTCAGGCCTCACTTAGGATCATAGGCTTTTATGCTGACGTTGCCATGCACAAACGTGCCGCATTACTCATGCGAACAAAGTACCTTTGGACATAGCGAATTGGTTGGTCGTCCACAAGAGACCTAGCAAACAACAATGAGACTGGATTGCTACCAAAAATAGATTGTAGTGACTTTCCTTTTCCTTTTCCTTGACCGGCTTGCCCCTCACGCTGCGCCCCCTCTACGGACTTGAGTGAGTGTTTCCAAGTTCTGACCACATCAGTAGATGGTCATCCCCCTCTTCCTCGACGGTGCTATGCTATCCTGAACTCCAAGGCCCATATACATTACTTTTCCATAGGCCAAACTTGTCCTTAAAGGTGCCTGGTATATTACCCTTTACGCTTGATATTCGATCCTCGTCGGTTCCTCACCATTCATCCGCAGAGCCACCCGGGGAAGCAGCTGCTAAGTGTTGGGTGGCGATCCAACATCGCGCGTAACATCTGGGCTGAAACGGACCCACCACGACTGCAGCTTGTTGGTTGTGTCTGCTGGTCGTGTCAGTTGCCCGTTGGTTAAAGCTGTCTGCACGTCCAACACCCAGTTCTCCTGTAGGCCATACAATCTGTGCCAAGCTACAGGGAACTAAGGATCCTCTTCACCCGCCGAGGCTCTTCGGCGCGTATTTGTCAGAGGGATCTTGCTGCCTTACCTTGGCAGCGATGACAACTCCACATCGTCTTCTCTCGACGCGGACCAGGACGGAAGCCGTTTCGATTCCATCAACAGCTAAATTCATCACTTCGCCATGTCTCACTCTTATCAGGCTCCGGGATGCATGCACCTAGAGGGGCGCCTCATGATGCTGCCCAAGAAAGAGGAGGTTGCAGATAGGATTCCACCGACGCAAGATATCGAAGCAGGTATATTCAACCATCCCGTCGTCGTGCTTTCGCGGCAAGTTCGCGATGGAAATGTGGCAGTTTTTGTTGTCAGTTGGCATTGCCCCCAATCACGATGGATCTCGGTGCAAGACCTTGCTAATTAATACGGCTAGGTTACGAGTTTCGATAACACGCCCATCCAGAAACGGCATTGCGATCGCGCCCGAAGACAACCCTACCTCCCAATTCGACCGGCCTGCCATCCAGACAATAGCTCTACCCTTGTTATCGCACATGGGAAGACTATGAGGAAGCAGTCTTATGTGAACACCAAGAAAATTCACGAAATCCCGTTCGCCATTCTCCGCACGTGCTGGAAGGACGACGATTTCCATCTAGAGAGCCAGTCCTACCAGACACTCACCTCAGTATTGTGGAAGCAAAACGTCGCCGAGCTTACGATTCGACTGAAAGGTCATGGCATATTCGAGCGGGTGCAACAACCGACTCACGTCGAAATACCTCGCTCTACCCTTAGTCGCAGCACGAACGAGCGCCGCCCCCACGATCTTCGTTATAACGGAGGGTATATAGGATCATCTAGTCGAACCGACTCTTATGGGACGTTTATACACAGCCCAGCAGAAGCAACTCTCCCAGGCGTCATGAGAGCAGCCACGACGAGTAATATGATGGCATACGATTATCATGTTCCCGGGTCATGGGTATCAAACGATACTGCGTTTCAGCAGAACAGTTTTCAGCACAATTATTTACCCACCCAACAACGGACATATAGCGCGTCTGATGATAATGGGTCGAGCGGTTTCGTTATTTTCATTATCCTAGCATGCCTCGTACTAGGCTTCTGCTACTTTGCAACTAGATAGACGAAGGGATCCTTGAGAGATGTTTATATTCGTTGTCGGACATCCCACTTCGCAAAATGTTACCGCGTGTGTTCCTCAGAATATTCAAGTCAATAGATGGGTATCCTAAGGAACAATTAACGAGATTGATGTCTGGGATAACAGCAAGAACACCACTCTGGGCTGACCTCAATACTAGATTGATAGTCTTTCTACAGCTAGACAATGTGTAATTCGGTGGTGGGGGAATGGACCGAAGATTTTTCACTCCTGACTATTAGTAGCGACGGAGGGTAATGCCAGTTCAATTCAACCCCCATCTACGTCTCCTCTCTTCCCTTCCCCATCTATTACATATCTACTGTTACTCCTCCTCTCATGGACCCTACCATCTACTCGATAGTTAACATCTCCTCAACAAAGTCAATGCCGTTCACATCAATGCCTCCTATACGTAACCAGCACCGCGGCTGACAACTTCCTTGTTCCGAATCTCCGAGAAGGCGAACACAACACTAAAATTTATTTAATCGGCAAAAATTTAAGACAACAATGCAGAAGGCAAAACATCGGTGTAGGTGGATACAGCCGACAGATATGATGCAGTGCCGAGAATAGCAAGACCCTCCGATGTTCAGGCCAAGGACAAAAATGAGGTTGATGGTGCCGACAACAAATGTCGGTATAGCTCTGATGCAGGACGTTTAAACTCAGCAAGGGGATTAAAGATACACCCATTGTCCATCAATCTGAGGCAACGGCTCCTCGCCGCGAAGTGCTCTCCATCGATTACTCGAATCCACCAATGCCTGGCAACCGACAAGAGCCCAGGGCCACTTCTGCATAAAACCTAGCGTCACCTCCCAGTTTTCGGGACAGTGCGGTTCACCCCAGACGATCATCCCAGTTCTTGTCCCAGAGGTCACGGTCCCAGTCTCATCGATCGATCGAGATGCCTTATTGGCTAGCAGGCGTGGTCGTTTCGGGCGCTGAAGTTGGTACACATTGGCAAAGTCCACAAGGTCGCCCACCAGATCGTTGCCGAATTCAACTTGGTCATACTCAGCTTCGTAGCGGATCAGAGTGTCTCGCATGACTGGGAAAGGTATTATATCAATCCATGTTGCGTGGTCCTTGGAACTCTGAAGAGTCGTGGGGCGAACCGACAAAGGCAGGCCGTTTGCCTCGTCTTGCGCTGTGAGGACAAGTGTAGCTCGGCTCGGGTGTGCATCGTCAATAGTCACAAGCTGAGGCTCAATTCCCGGTGTGTTTCCTCCGATGCAGAATGCCGTCGATGTCGCGAGGATGAATTTTAGTCTGAAGACGGCACGTAGGACGTTGAAGTGTATAAGATGTAGAAGATGATCTTGCAATGGCGATGTTTTCTGGGCAAGATACGGTAGAGCCAACTTCAGCAAGGGCTCCCTCTCTAACAATGCGGCATCCTGTGCACTAAGGGGCGGGACACGGCAGGTTTCAAGAGACCAGCCTTTCTGTTTTTGGGCATCATCGTGTCGAGTTGCAGGATTAGTATGTCGGCCGCTTCGGACGCCAGATACGGCCTTTTCGTCATCAAGGCGCCAACGCGTGACTTCGAATGGACGGCGAGGCTTGTCGTCATCTCCTTTTAAACGGGATCCTAGGCGAGTTAGCTGTGTTACATGGGCAATGGATACGTCGCAACTCACGCCGGGCTCTTTGATTCATCCGGTTCTGGAGCTTCCTCCGTTGCTTTGCCTGAGTGGCTTCGTCTGCTGACATGGTCGAGGCTAAAAGAGTGGTTCCTTTTGGTTCTTTTCGGCAAAAATGGTCACCAAAACTTTAAATCTCGGAATCAATTTTGGTCCGACTTCTGCATGTTAGGATGCATCAAAGCTTGAAAGGGAGAAAAGGTCAGCAGCCTAGAGAGAGGGAAACTTGCTGGGCATATGAATGAATAGAAGTGGAGAAATGGCAGGGGCTTGTGCTTGCATGAACTTGGCCAGGAATGGAAATTCTGTCATCAGGGTCTCACTGCTCCTCCTACAGTCTAACCCAGGATGGTGAAACTGTCATCAGTGGCAACATGATGTTGGCTCCACTGCATTTGAGGTTGTGAATTCGGGAGCCAACACGATGGAGAAGGTTTTGCTCCTGAAAGCGAATTTGACACGAGGAATTACTTGAAGAGATAATGGGTGCTTATCAATTTTATATATATAGAGGACGACGAAGTCTCATTTCTAACATGAAGGAAACAATCATCCTCGTCGACTTACAGATCGGAGCCATCGAAGAAGCCCCTTCTTTCTGTGCAAATCTAAAACTCACACCACCTGCTCATACCTGAGAGTAAACATGGAATTGTTTGACTGCAGCCCCCAGAAATATGCATCGTTCCCCCACTGGCTTCGGCGCCAGCTATTCGAATCACCCCGACCAGTATCCGATGTCGACTTGACAGGAAAGGTAGCAATCGTTACTGGGGCCAACCAGGGCATCGGTTTCGAGGTTGCCGATCAACTCCTCGCTCTAAAGATCACCAAGCTCATTATAGGCGCTCGGAATGAGGATAAGGGAAAATCTGCGGCAAAGACACTGGAGGCCAAGCACAAGTTATCGCCCGGCTCAATCGAGGTGTGGAAGCTGGACATGCTAGATTATGCCACGATCACAAAGTTCGGTGAGCGGGCAAGCCAGCTCGAAAACCTCGACATTGCAGTACTCAACGCTGGAATTTTCAGGAAGGAGATGATCATCAACGAGTTAACAGGCCACGAGGAAGATATCCAGACCAACTATCTATCCACTGTGTTACTAACACTCCTCCTTCTACCTACCCTCGAATCCAAGAAGCGGGCGTCCAATCTCCCGGGGCGATTGACCATTGTTTCCTCCGATATGTCTGGCATGACTAAGTTCGTTGAGCAGGATGGAGACCCGCTGCTGGCTACCCTTGATAAGCGAGATGCCTACAAGTGGGATGCGTTTGAACGTTACGGCACTTCTAAGCTACTGGGCCAGCTTTTACTGGCCGAATTGGCAAAACACGTCTCGCCATCGGCCGTGATAATCAACGCGGCCAACCCCGGCCTTTGTCACGGCTCAGGCCTAAGCAGGGATGTCGAAGGGGAAGGGATGGCATATAGGGCTGCTATGGCTCTCTACTTTGGTCTCTTGGGCCGCAAGTCCGCCGTCGGTGCCCACGTGGTGATGAATGCCGCCGTCAAGCAAGGGGAGAAGTCGCATGGCCAAGCCATTGACGGCAACAAGATCAGACCGTACGTTCAATCCAGCGGTTTTCCCACCTCGGATCAGTTCAGCTGGCCTACTTGGGTATTGATTTTTACTAATGCTATGGATTTAGGATGGGGCCATTTGTCTACTCGCCCAAATCAGAAGAGGTCACTCGCCGGCTATGGAAGGAGACAATGCAGGAGCTCTCATTTGCTAACGTAAAAATCGATGGGGGAATCTAGAAGAGTTTAGAAGAGTTTGGTTTGATTTTGTCAGAAGCATTCCACTAAAGATACCTGTCGTTCAATTGAGGAGAAACCAGAAGTTCGCGCTCGAGGTTGTGGATGTATAATTATCACTACGGAGTGGGGGAATATAGACTGCGCAATAATAACTTAGATACGTATAATCTTTTATGTTCCAATTAGTACAAACCCTCTAGCAAGCTATAGGTTCTGGTTCCATCGCTTCAGGGTCGCCGATCTTCAGCCCAAGACGTATCGATGTGGTACTCTGACCGGGAATCTAAGCGGCTGGCCAGAATTGGTGGTATTTTCCTCAGTATGGTCTTTCTTATCAGTGTTTCACAGGTATGCATATGCATACCATTTTCGGGCGAGATGTATACGTAATTATGAATGAATTACAACTTAGCTACCACGCCTTTTTGTTGAACGATGAGGCGGTCTCATGTCTCATCCCACCGCTTATCAGGGCAGGCATTTAGAATCCAGGTCAATTCATCCTGATGCATTAGCTTTGTACAGCTATCTAACGGGAATTTCGCCGAACATTTGCTACTCGCACTCTCGAAATAGAATAGCACCATGACACACCTCAACACATTCCAAGCCGGCAACCGGCGGGTTAGCATAGGCGCCCCAACGTGCATCGGTGCAGTGGAGAAGCACTAACTGAATCTAGGACAGATCTTGGGCCATCAAATCAATGGTGAACTCTCAGTGGCTCAGACAGTCTAGACTGCAGCTAATACAGCCTTGTCGTTCGGCTTAGCATGGCCGCTGGCAAAGCGTTGAGCGAGTCGTACTCGTACCCAAGCTGCATGGTTCTAAGCCACCTTGTTGGGATCTCCCAATCAGACGCTGCAGCAACGTAATAGGCCATGATATGTACGGAATTTTGCGGGCGTTTACACCATATTGGGGAAGGATATCGGGACCCCACGGATTCATTGTCTTATCTCGACTGAATGTTAGTCACTTCTTGGGGTCCGGGGGGAATAGTCATTGCAAACCGGAGGCGGAGGAGGGGGCAGGGGATGTGCAGCTTGTACCCTCGATATGACTCCTATTATATGACCAAGGGAGTCTGTCACTAGCTGAGTGTCAGAAGATTCTGTTCTTCCAGACACTTCCTCTTGACTCATCTCTCATTGTCCGTTAGCTACAATGGCTGAAGTCGAAAGTATCCATAGGCAGCAGCAGTGCACCTCATGGAGCTTCGCTGCTGATTTCTTCTCGGCCGCATGTGCCGCAGCGCTTGTTGCTCCATGGGTGAATGCCATTGACAAGTAAGTAGGACGAGCTTGCTCCAAGAGAAATCGAACACCCTCTTCTGGTGTGGTTGGTATTCGAGCAACTGAGTATAGTAACTGACCATGATGATGATAGGATGATATACTACCGCGTTGCAAAGGGCGATTCGTTCAAAGATTCCTGCAAGTCCTTCCTCTCGAAGCCCAAGAAATTGCTTGGGGCTTTCCACATATGCTTCCTTGTTTACTTCGGCACGTATGCCACAGCCAACCTCCTCAACTCGTTCTGCACCATCGACGACTCCTACGATCCTGCCACCATGTCCGCCTCGTCTGCCAAGCTCTCGACGACTCGCTTCTGTGTCTCCGCTGCTGTCGGGACGGGGCTATGTCTCTACAAAGATGGATATGTGGCCAGGGCCGTAGGGAAAGCGTCTTTGCCTCTCTTCTCGTATATATTGTTTGCCGCCCGCGATGCCACCACTTGCTTTACTTCGTTCCAGCTGCCCCCTCTCGTCGCCCAGTTATCCGCCTCGTCCCTTGCAAACCCAGCCTTGAACACTGCCAAACCCGGAAATTCAGAATTGGCCAACCTCGCCTCACTTGCTGCAGCTCAGCTGGTTAGTACACCGATCCATGTATTGGGCCTCGACCTGCACAACCGGCGGAAGAAATCAACGGCTCGTCAGCGGATCCAAGCTCTTTGGAAGCATGCGCCTGCTGTTTCATCGCTGCGGATGGCGAGGGTGATGCCGACATTCTTTATTGGGAATTCCGTCAACACCACGTTCAGGAGCTCCATGATTGACATTGGGCTCTAAATCGACATGAGTAGTTATTTTCGAAGTTTTCGAAGAAAATCCTCTTCGATTATTTAATTTGGGACTGGGGAACTTTGGAGGGATGATGAGCAAGGAATTTATGTACGTACAGCTTCAACAACTCGTTGTGAATCAACCAATCCACCTCATACACAATGTAAAAAAAAAAAATGAAATGGAACGAAGTGAAAAAAAAAAGTTTAAAAATATTAAATAAAGGTAGAGAGTCTAGATTTAAACAATATAGTCTCTTGACCGATCTTCTTGATATGGCTGCTTTGGGAACTGAGTCTCTGCGTTGCATGGCCACTGGGCTCATGGTTACACAAGCGTGTCTGTGTAAATGCCAAGATGATCATCACTTCAGAACCGACATTGGATCAATCGATATACAGAGTTACAGAAATCGGCTTCGCTCATCAAATCAAGGCAAAATATCATTTATCATTGGCTATCTTGCTATAGCTTGGTGCCCATGTTAATGTGTACAGCCTTGACCTGGGTATACGCAGCCAGACCAGCCTCTCCCAGCTCTCTACCAATACCGCTCTGCTTGACACCTCCAAACGGCACCCTGAAGTCGGAATCGTTCGAACTGTTGACCCAGACCATACCGGCCTCCAGTCTTCCTGCTACACGGTGCGCCCTTTCTACGTCAGTTGTAAATAGGGCGGCTCCCAACCCGTATGAGGAGTTGTTGGCCACGCGAATTGCCTCCTCCTCCGTCTTGAATGTGATGATCGTTACAAACGGTCCAAATACCTCCTCCTGGAAGATGCGCATGTCCTCCTTGACGCCAGAAAAGACAGTCGGCTCGATAAAGAAGCCTTTGCCGTCGCCGACGTTCTTGTGCGGCACGCCACCAGTCTCCAGCTTGGCACCCTCCGTCTTGCCCGTCTCGATATACCCCAGCACGCGCTCGTACTGCGCCTTTGTGACTTGGGGCCCCTGGAACGTGTCGTCGTGGAACGGGTCGCCGACCTTGTTCTTGAGGACCTCCTCCTTGAACAGGCGCAGGTACTCATCGTGGATGTCCTCGTGCACGAGGATGCGCGACGTCGCCGTGCACACCTGGCCCTGGTTATACATGATGCCCAGGTGCCCCCACTTGACGGCCTGCTCAAGGTCGGCGTCCTTGAAGACGACGAGGGGCGACTTGCCGCCCGTCTCGAGCGTGATAGTCTTCATGGTCTGGCTCGCCGCCTTCATCACCGCCTTGCCCGTCAGGGTCGACCCCGTGAAGGCCACCTTATCCACACCCGGGTGCGAGACGAGCGCGTCGCCCGCGTCCCGGCCGTAGCCGTTGACGACGTTGATTACACCGGGCGGGAACCCGGCCTTGGGGATCAGGGTGGCGAGGTACAGCGCGGACAGGGGCGTCTGCTCGGCGGGCTTGAGGACGACGGTGTTGCCGCAGGCGATGGCCGGGCCGATCTTCCAGGCGGCCATGGCGAGGGGGAAGTTCCAGGGAATGATCTGGCCGCAGACGCCGATGGGCTGCTTGAGGGTGTAGGCGAACTTCTGGGGCGTGGTCGGGATGGTCTGCCCGTGGATCTTGTCGGCCCAGCCGGCGTAGTACTTGAGCGTCTTGATGACCTCGCCGACGTCCTCGTTGAGGGCCACCGAGTAGGCCTTGCCGTTGTCCCAGGCCTCGAGCGTCGCGAGCGTCTCCTTGTGCTCGTCGATGAGCGTGGCGAAGCGGTACAGCAGCTCCCCGCGGTCAGTGCCGGGGAGGTCTCTCCATTCCGGCGACTCGAAGGCCGCGCGCGCCGCCTTGACTGCTGTGTCGATGTCGTCGGGCGATGCAGCCTCGACCGAGGTGATTTCACTCTCGTTACTAAGGTGAGACATGGCCCGTTAGCTACCCTTGCAATTCCCGTTTTTTTCTAGGCTCGCACAACATGACGCCATGCGATGTCACATGGACGATGACGCACCTTGGATTGATGCTGCTGATCTTGGCACCAGCGCTGGACTTGACGAACTCGTTGTTGATGAAGAGTCCGGTCGGCAGGTCGATCTTGACGCCGTTGGGGGCAGTGAGGGCGACGGTCTCTGCGGGCGCCATCTTGATTGTGCTTTACTTTGTCTTGGGCTCACAGGCTGATGAGGTGAAAGTGAGAGAGAGTCAGGTGCGGCCCGCAAGTTCGTGGAAAGCCAGTTTTATATTGTCGAGGCAAGCAAGCTCTCGACTGACCTCATCAACCCCACCTCGCATAAAAGTCCACGGCTCCTGGGAGGTAGCTTGGGATATGGAGATGGGTGGATCTGGAGATGGCACAAGCTGTGATAACAGGCATGCCGCTATTCCCAAAAGTGCTAAAATTCTCGATTGCCTTCTTCTTAGATCTTCCAAGCTCTCTTTCTCATGTATCACCCTCTATCTTCGTCGTCTACTACTCGCTCATTCACCCATTCATTGACGTGTGAAACCGCCTGTGTACATCCCCCCTCGGCTACTACATCGTCACCCATCCTCTCCCCTCAAACGTTCTCCCTCGCCATGGAGCTACGCGGTTCCGCAGCCAATGCCAGCATCTTTGTGGAGACGCGGCTTGGGACCGTTCCACTCCTCCATTCCAAGATAGGGAAAAAGATAGGCCATGCTTGAACTTATTTGCGGGGTGCGTCTCCTCGTGCGCGGAATGCCGGAGTGACGGAATCTCGGGGCCTTTTCACAGGGTTGTTCCCCTCATTCTTAATGCTCTCCACGATGGAGGCCTCGGATGGATGCCTCCTGGCCCTCTCCTGTTTGCCTTGCTGCTCTCCGGCCGTGACTCATAACCTGACCTGTCACCATGACGCGTGCTAAAGCCGAGGATGACCTCACGACTAGCAAACATTGCATAGTGCTCCCATTCTCAACGTTACAACTTGCATGTTTGATATGGAATATTCGGGAAATAGCCAGCCTAGGCTAGTCAAACGTTCTTTGTGCCAATTTTGGACACCATTCTTTATCAGCATGCAAAAAAAAAGGCCAAAAAAGTGATCAATCGTTCATTATAGGAACAGCCCGATGCGGGGGTCGAACCCGCAACCTTGAGATGTGAACTCGTAAGAGTCTCACGCTCTACCGATTGAGCTAACCGGGCACCTTTCCGGGTGCTGTGATGGAGGCCAGAGGCTCGGCAATGGAATACAAGAATCCAAACCAGACGCAAAGGACGTGATCAAGTGCTCAGAAGCGAGAAATGAACAGCTAGTCCCCTGTGGAAAGATTACATGTTGATAAGAACTTCTTTTATAAATATGGCTGAGGTTTGGTCGGGATTCAGGCGCAGCTCACTTGTCACTAAGAAGCTGATGATTGTTGCACAAGGCCAAGCCATTCAATTGAGCCCGAGCAAACGATTATGGCAGACAATTATAATAGAATATAATAGCAGATGATGTCCATTAAGGCTATTTCCGATATCATAAACCCTTTTGTGAATTGCTTTAGCCTACAGTGTAGCTTTCGAGGATATCGATTGGATATAGGGTAGCCTAGGAATGCTGTCGGGCCGAGGGAGCAGTAACGGTGCTAAGTTCTGCCAGCAAAAGGTGACAGGCCAAGGAAGAACTAATGCAACTAAATTACCCGCGTCTCACCCTAAAAGCTTGCAACTTTACTTCTGTGGACTGTGTCAGTGCTTGCACATGCGGACATTTGATGCCAGTCTTCTGTGTAGGTGCACTTTATTACAGATACAGCCCAACGCTATCACCCTCATCACTGGATGTAGCTCCAACCAAAAGAATGATACTCGAAATGAAACTGAGATTCTGTGGTGGTAGCATGAACTAAGTTGAGTTTAAGTAAAGTTCGGTGTTACGTCTTGTAATTGTTGCCCTAAAACCTTCGAACGTGAAGCGTGATCAATGCTAGCTCCTTCGATACTTCTGAGCATCTCCTGAATTAGTTAGCAGACATAGATATAAAGACAAGGCACGGTGCTTTGGATTCTTCTTTGGTACAAGTCATAACTCTTTCTTTCCTGAACTCAACATTCCTACCCACCATGCATTTAAGGGATCTTGCAATGCGCTTCCGGAAAAAGCAAGAATCGGCCGTGCCACCGGTAAACCCCAATCTGCCCAAGAATGTTTTGCAACCGCCAAATTGCCATCTACTGAATAAACTTACCGATCCTATACTGGACATGATCCTTCGCCGGCTGCCGCGCTTCATGTTCTTCGCCGTAGCCCAGACATCCAAGAGGCTGAACGGGGTATGCTGCGCCATTTATGGTGGCTCGAGGTTGTTACCTTTTGCCAGCCCCGAAGGACTTGAGTACCTGGAGTTTTTCTTGGCTCGAGACAGTCCGGCCAAATGGTCTGCAACCGTTGCTATAAAGTGCACATCATGTCCCCGTCCTACGGTCCCCGCCATCCACTGAAAACCAATTGTCCCAAGGATCGGGCTTATTTGCAAGATTTGAAAAAGGAGCTCTGCCCAATTGGTCCACGCTACGATTACCGATTTGCCCAGTTCGTTCTCAGATCTCGTCGCTTATGCCAGGAGCCGGAGTGGAGCAAAAAGGAATGGTGCTCACTTTTTCACCTCATCATGGAGCCAATTCAGATCGAGTTTTGCTACGAACATTGGAGCTTCAAAGAGTGGTATCCTCGGCAATATATCAGGCCGAGGATAGAAGGTGATTCTCTTTACATAGATCAGACTATAGCCTTCGAGCTACCCGATGGTTTCGGATTGTTGCAAGGAGCCCCATATGGCGAGAAATGGATCTGTGAGCACCAACCTTTTTGTGCACCAGGTTGGTGGCATGGATTCAGCCAAAGTCAACGGATAGGTTATCCTCCCATGAAAGTGAAAAGGGAGAAACGGCCGTATGACCACCACGGATCACCATCCTCGGACCCTCCTGCATATCAATTCCATCCCGTCGGAGATGGTAATGACTGGGCGACTGTGGTACAAGCCGCAACGAGGGAGCCCGGCAAATTCTTCGACGGCAGTTGTTATGTTTGCCCCACTAAATTTGCGGTCAAGGTCCGATCCGGGGGCGCAACAGTATGGCGCCGAGAGTATATAGGATCCGAGAGTGTAGTAGCGACGGATACATTCAAGAAGTCACATCCCAACAGGGTTCAAAATCCAGATACGTCATCGGGAGGGCTAACGCACTGAATCTCAGCGCACAGTATAAAACTACGAGAGCTACGTTAGCGTTATATTGGAATTAAATATAGTTTATTTAACTCATTATTTTGGTCACAACGTGACTATTTCATTCATCAGCAACTTGAATCACGGATAACCTTGGGGAAGAATTTCACATTTTGCTTCTGATTTTTACACAAAGGTTTAAGAAGAAGGATAAGATAATACCACTTGACAGATCCTAATAATATTTGGATTCATTGAGTACAGTAGCAGGCGACTGACATAAAACATTACACACCAAAGCTATATCTATTCACATAAGTCAGGGACCTCATTTCCTTAATAATAATAGTAAACACAATAATAAGGAGATTATTAACTATTATTATTTAGTATTTAGATTATTCTATAGATTATTATTAATTAATTGTTTTAATATAGTATCAAAATTTAACGCTAGATATCCTGGATGTACAATATTTTATATCAGTCACTTGGGTAGGTGTAACGAGTCCAGTTACCAAACCGGGCGCGCTGTAACTTCTGTTAAACTTTTACCTTATTAACGAGCTCCTCCTTGCGGTCCTTGATATAGCGGATATAGGCATCGCTATAGGCTGGACCGACGTCAACAAAGACCTGGAGTATTTAAGTAGCGCCTTGGGCTGTTAATTCGGTTCCGATTTTCTCTTTATCTATCGATACTCAGTTCAAATATCGGATCCAACCACCATCACAATCAGCGTCATCACCTCCATCATCATCGTCTTCATCATCATCGTCTCCATCATCACCGGGCCCGTCATCATTACCCCCGTCATCAGTACTATAGGCCTTTGGATCATGTACAAGTCCCTGCAGGTTAAGATACGGATGGAAGCGATAACTAGGTACGATCTGGAACGATATAGTACTGATAACATACCTACCTACGGCCAATCATCCCCAAAACCGCCTTTCAGCTCCTTATAAAGTAGCTCAGCAACTGGGGACAGGCCGCCCTTCCACAGGCCGCTCCCCTCCTCCTCTCATCCGTTCTTTCCCCCCACGGCTTCTGGATCTTCTACTGCTCGCTGTTGGATTATCTTTCTTTAAGTTATCTACAGCGATTTGCATTTTATTTTCCAAGGCAGCCATTTCAGTACGGCGATAATTACTGGGGGAGGGGTGGTTGCAGCCCTTGCAGATATACTCGCACCTCATCATGGTTGATTGATCTAGTAGCCTTCGGATGAAGCCAAGACGAGTATCTCGATCCTCCTTCCACGTTCCAAGCGTCAGAATGTGTGAGTGTTCTATGATATTCCCCAACAATTGACCAATACCGCCATTGACTGACTGTATAAATACAAATGTTAGAGTTCCCGAACTGGTAGCTGGGATATCTGAGACCGTGACGGCGATAAGTATTTGGGGAGCAAGGCTGCTGCTAGAGCAAGTATACTTCTCCATCACCGTGGTTGCTGGTTCAATAGCCGCCAAAGTGAAGCCATGGCCATCACCGCCATACAACTGGCTAAGAATACCTACAAAAGGAGATAGAATAGCACAGAATTGATACGTACTTTACAAAATCATGATGAAATAATTCTTTCCTTGAAGTGTTTATTATTTGTGTATTCATTGCGTTCAAGGTGGTATAAATACACTTGGCCCGAATCTTTGCCTTATCTCCAGTACTTATATAAGCTAGAAACTGCCAAAAGTAACATAGAAAAGATAATTACGCCGGCTAGGATACAAATGTATTGAACAAAGATGGCGCTCTTAAAGGGGCACCCATCTGAGTACAAAGAAAGTCCGGAACAACTGCATCCCATTTCTCAAAACGGTGTTATGGAGCTCTGGTGGCTGTCCAACAAGGAAGGGCATCAGTATTGCTTCTGTTCAGAATGATACAATCCGTGCCAGTCCTCGTTCAGGTTTCAATGTCTGAGTATGTGGTTTGACATGAAAAAGTCCCCCACTTGGGTTTGGACGTGTTCAAAGGTGGCGTAGCGGCAGCACTCGCTCTCCAAATGGTTGAAAAGAGCGGCGATGGTCGTGAACGGTCGGCGGCATCTGTGGTTCGGGCAGTGATAGAGAACCTGCTGGTCTAAATGGGACAAATCAAACAAAGATTAGCTGAAAAAACATCTCCCCTGAGCTTTGAAGGAGGGCTTGGAGGAGCGTGCTTTACTTACGCCTTGGGGAATTGACATGCTGCGAAAGGGCATGGAGACTGTTGAATTCATTCAGGCAGAGATTGCATTGGTACGCGCGTCCGTTCCAGCATGTGTCGCCAACTTCATAGTGGACCGTGCCTCTCCACCCAATGAGTTTCTTGGTGATGACTCCGTACGGATCCTTGTCCCGGACAAATCGGTAGGTCTGATCTCGGTTCAATCCGGGCGCTCGAGGGCAACGACCTGACTCCAGGTGACCAGCAACTGCTGCGGCGTACGTATAGCGTCGGTCGCAGAAAGGGCAGCTAGCTTGTTTCCCGCGATGACGGACCGATCTGAGGTGCTACAATGACGCGAGATGGAGAAGTCAGCCTGCCGTTCAGCAACATCAATGCACCAATGGCTTGGTCGACGTACCGTCTTGATGGATTGGAGGGTTGGGAAAGACCGGTTGCACTCTCGGCAGTAGTTGTGGAAGGATACTTCGTGCTCATGGAGACCATCGGCTGAAGGAAAGGTTCTTGCGCAGCGTCTACAGTCGCTAGGCCAGTGATTGAACTTCTGGAGGTGACGCTGATGTTCTCTCTGATTTGGGCAAATGGCGCCGCACACTTGGCATTTGAAACCACGTCGACGCATGCTGTAGACAGAGTCAAGACAGGCAATCTTGATTGATGAGGGTGAAGTGGAAGTTTTGAAATTCAGAAGAGAGAGAGGAAGGGGAAGAGGAAGAGGGAGGCAGGCTTCTGCCTGAGGCAGTCCTGAGAAGTGGGAGCAAAGAGGGAAGGAAGTAACCACACACGCCATTGCCTCGGCATGATAAACAACTCCTCCCCAAATAATCAAGTGAAGCCTGATGGTGTATGTGGCCAGCAGCAGGAGCCCGGCCTCTAGAATCATTTCTATCATGGTTTGAGATACTGACTGGTCGTTAGTCAGTCAGTCTTGGATAAACAGCCTGCTATTGGTCTCAGTGAGATCGTGACTTCGTAATTGCCATTTTGCTGGCTACCTGAGGTATGTACGCGCGTATGTTGTTATGTCTTTGCCTTACTGGCCTTCACCCTTTTGAGTACGATCAACGGCCACAGCCTCGAGCAGGTAAGCCAGTCCCCGCCTCGATCCTATCCACCCCGGCCCTCGTGAATGCAATCAACAGTCGTAGCCTCGGACTGCTTTGAGCAGGTAGGTTGGGTCCTATTCATGCTGACTCCCCTACGCAGCTTCGCTTGCCCTTAGGACTGCTTTGCAGGCATTGAATTGTACGTAAGAGAGTTCGAGTATAAAGTCAACCAACAATAGAAGATGCCATAACCGGACACCTCAAGCAATCGCTTGACTTGGACGGATAATTAACTTCGTTTCCTAATTGACTATCTTTTGCAGGCTGCAAACGATTCCATGGTTAACTAAGCCTTGTTGGCGTTGATCCAGTCAACAAAGATGCCAACCCGGGTGTAGACGCCAGGATTGCCCTCCATTGCACAGCCGCGACCCCAAGAGACAACGCCGAGAAGTGTTCCAGAGGAGTCAACAATAGGGCCACCGCTGTCGCCCTGGCAGGCATCCTTACCGCCGGCAGGCCAACTAGCGCACCACATGGCGTCAGAGATGTACGCGGTGCCGTACTGGGAGCGGCAGGTAGCGCGGGAGATGATAGGGACGGTGACCTTTTGCAGGTCCGAGACACCGGGGCCTCCTGCAACATTGGAACCCCTGTGTTCAGAGGAGATGAGAAAACATTAGCTTGTTGTGGACTTAGCAGAGAAGAGAGCAGATTTTCCGGTGTCCATCACGTACCAGCCAGCAACAGTGACATAAACATAAGGGCCAGGAGTAGGGTCAGAGCCCTTGGCTGGGAGGGTGGCGTATTTGATGGTGGAGCTCTTAGCGATGGGGGATGCCAGCTTCCAGATGGCAATGTCGTTGTTAAGGTCCCTGGGGTTGTAGTGATGGTGGATCCAGATCTTGGAGACTCCGACTTGCTTACCACCGGAAGCCCATGTCTGTATGGAAAATGGTGTGAAAAAGAGATCGAAGGACGAGGGAGTGAATGTATTTGACTTACAGCAGTTCCGGCGCGGACCTTGACGGCAGAAGCGCTCATGCCGTAGGAGCAGTGTCCTGCAGTCAAGACAGTGTTGGCGTTCAATAAGGCACCACCGCAGAAGTGGGAGCCGCCCTGACTCAGACTGACAATGTAGGGGAACTCGGAGATGCTGGCGCTTTCACCGCCAACGATGTTGATGCTGACACCTCCATCTTCAAGAGGGAGACCTGCTGCCATGGAGGCCAGAGGCAGAATTGAGGCCGCGAGAGAGCGCAAGGACACCATTGTGACTTGTGGTGGTAGTTGATGTGGTCTGCAGTGGTGATCGGAGAAGTTGGTCGTCCTAAATTCCTCTTGGTGGACTGCTAGGGCAACCTCCTTGGATATATAGTATTTCTATGACAGGGGTCAAAGCATCTATACGGGTCGTCATTATCGTCTTCCCTATTTCAACTGTGCTTGTATCCCGCGAGAATCGCTGCGCCGTTTCGTAACTTGCCACTCCTTTACTCCGCCAACTCACGTTGTCTGGACCTGAACCTCATGTGTAGGTCTTGAAGCCACAGGTGAAAGAAAGATGAAGTACCCAAGTTCTGGGACTGGAAGCCGGGATATCTGAGACCGTGACTGGCTTGGGAAGCCGGAAGTCCGTCCCTAAAAAAGATATTATCAATGCAAATCCGGCTAATGTCCAGATGTCCGAGTGCAACATTACCTCTGCGTCTAGTTGCCATTGAGATCAAGTTAGGCTTAAGTTGAAATCGGGGATGGACCCTTCTGAGGTGCTGATCTTGCCTTGCCCACCGTCCAAAGTCAGATCCTCGGCGCTTAAAGGGGCGTGGACAATGTAGACCCTTGAACCCGATGGGGCTGAGATCTATGAGCAATGTGGAAGGTGTGATGTCGTATAGAGTGGGAAGGGAAACGCCAAGTCGAATAATCCTGCTGCAAGTGATGTACCTGGATGGAAATCACCAGGGTGCTGTTATGCATACGCCGCTCCCGTACTGCCTCGCCAATGTCCTGATCCCATGATCTTGCCCAAAGCCTTTTGGAGTATATTGATCTGTACTTGAACTTTGTTGGGATTCCCTGGAGGCCTGTATATTGACATACATTGAGATGAATTGGATGACTTCCTATCGTAGGTAAGCGGTGACTAGGGCTCTCACTGTCGCACAATATGAACATGCGTTTGGCCTGTGAGACGTCGGGGACTCATGAACACTTGGCTCGTACCCCGATCAGCAAGTGGTAGGATCCAAGTCAAGCCTCACCAACTTGGTTTAAGGCGTATGGAGAGGCTGATTGGCTGGTGAGTAAGATAATGGCGGTTTTGAGGAGGAAGTGGGTGAGATGATATCTCTCCGAACAGGTTCACTGAGTGAGCCTGTATGGAACCTTTGTGCGCATGTGCGCATGACCATCAGCCACGGAGGTGATTAGTCGCGAAAGACCTCGGGGCGCTGAGACTTGTGAATGAAGGCTAGAGGTCAGGCGTTAGCTCGATGACATTCCTTCAGTTCTAAAGCAATCAGGAATGCTTGGATGGCGAACTGGTCAGTAGTGTACATGGGTTTACCACTTTATTACTCGACACGGAGCTGTGCAAATGCCCACTTTCTAACACGAAACCCAGAATTATATCAAATTTATATCAAAATGGAGTAATTCTATATGAAAGAATGACTCTCACATGTTATGGCGCTAAATCTCACACCCAGCCAGCTTGACAAGCTCGGGGAAGTTGGGTGTTCCCAGCCCTGTAACCGGATCCCAACCTTCAGTTGCAGAGAAGCCGTCAGTACCGCAACCATATGGAGTACCAATCGTAATATCATTCAGCCCCTTGTAGCCCTTTGAGTATAGCCAAGGGTTGAGGAATCCCAAAGCAGGCTTTCCAGATGCGATGAGGGCGTCATTGACGAGAGAAATGATACCGGCGGTAAGAGGCGTGCTGGCGCTCGTGCCACTGATAACACCCTCAGTGCCGTTCCAGAAATAAGCAAAGTAGAATCCCTGGGCCGAGATATCCGGGTATCCTCTTCCTGCCTTGTTGTATAGCCCATCATACTTGCCCTTCAAGTTCTTGATGTAGGTTGTCACCTCCTTCTTTTGGTAGTCTGGGGACGAGAAGTAGTTGCTGAATCCACTGCCAGAAGACCAGTTACCATGGTGCACTCCATTAGAGTCGGTGAACTCTGGGCGCCAGGCTACAACTTCCGGAGAGAACTCTTTTGTGGCGCCTACCGCGGTGATCCAGGGACACTGCGTAATGTTAGTTTTTGTTTTGACGTTTGGTATTAGGCAAGCTATCAGAAGCTTAAAGTCAACTTACCGAGGCTGGGAATGAAGGCAGGAACTTGGTCGTATTCTTGCCATCATTGCTAATGCATTCCTCCGGCGCGAATGATCCAACACCATTGTCGCCGCTGGAGAAAAGCAGGGAAGTGCCTCGAGCTCCCACGGCAGCGAATTGCTTGCACACACGCTCTGCGTATGAACGGGGAACACTCTGTTCATCATCACCGTACGAGGTCGAAATGACGTTAGGGATTGACCTCTGGTCGAGGAGCCAGTTTACCCAAGCGAGGTATGGCTCGTTTGTGTTGTCTGGAGTAGAGGCGCTGGGGTTGAAAGGGGGGCTGTATTTTCATCAGTTAGCAATGACCGCGTGTAAAGAAGGAGATGGAAAATGTTTACCTTCCACCCGTAGAATAGCTAATGATTGGGGTATCCCAGTTAATCCCGGCAATAGCTTGCACATCCAAGTTCGCCTCTTTGGAACGGCCTTCCTCGAGATCCTCAGGTGTAAGAGGGCCATCACCTGGACCGTCCGCGATAACCAACTGCTTGAAAGTCTTGGCGACAGCTGTAGCAAAGGGACGGAATTTGGCCAAGAACAATTCCAGATCAGAACGGATCGGATGCTCTTTCAGGTAGTTGGCAAAGCCAATTGAGTTCTTCGCAGTTGCCTTTGCCTTGTAGCCTTTCGTCTTGTACAGGACCTCGAAGCATTGTGGAGTCACAGAGTTGATGTTGCAGAGCTTGCTGATATCATCGCCCCCGGAAAGACTGTATGTTGATGTGAGCGAGTCGACTGCCTCGGTACTCTCGACAATATGGTCAAAACTCTGAGCGTGGGCGCGGAAGAAAGAAGTTGTAGGCTGGATAGTCTCAATATGCTCATGCAAATGGATGGGTAGAGACCACTGGGATGTTCGGTATACGCGGTTACCGTTGTCATGCTCGAACGTGTGGTACTCCGTATTGAGCAGTTTCTCAACAGAGCTGACTGGGATAGATACCGTTATCCAATCTTTGGCAGCGCTATAGCCTGAAGGAGTAACATCGTTCTCTTTAAGCCAGTCTAGAACAAGCTTGAGAGAATCCTCGGTAGGCTTGATAAGCTCGTTCACATCATCTTGGGTGAGATGTTTGCCGTAGTTGCCATGATCAGGGTGGGAAACTATAAAATGTTAACCACACCATCACTAAAAATTAGTTGTAGTGGAAGCCATGGGATTCTCACCTTCGTTAAGACGCTTCTCCAGCTCTTCAAAGTTGCCCTGTCTCACTCCGATTTGAAGGTCAATGATATGGCTCGAGGGAGCGCGCTCAATCTTTTGCCACTTCCTTGGGACGATATGTGTTTCCTTGATCTGGTACGAGCGTTCATCATGGGTAGGTGCCGCATTGGCAGCGTGAGCTGCGAGAGCAGAAACGAGGTAAATCAATCGGACCATGCTGCCAATGTTTAAACGCAGACACATACGTAAGGAGAAGCGAAGAATCTTGAGCCAATTGAACTGCCATCATTCATATTTAAATAATGAGAAGCTGGGGAATTATCAGGCACGGCTTCCAACAATCTCCAAAAGTTCTACGGGCTTGGACGCAATGGTCGATGATCGCTGTGGCCGGAAGATTGTGCGATTGCGAGAGCCTTTTTTGGAAGGTGACATGTGCGATAAAATCATGTAGATTGCTGATGGCATTAGGCTAGAGCTCTATACGGTTTGTTTCGAGTGCTTTTGGAGGACCTTATGGTGGGAGTTGCCGACATATCCGACAAGCCTCCCGCCAGACAGGTTCAGGACCCCAACCTTCCTCGGCTCAATGTGCCGGTGATGCAATTCTCACCCTGGAAATTGGGTGATTCTCGGGGCTTTTTGTATCCAGAAGCAAGAATCTGAGGCATTTAGGAGTGGTAATCGATGACAATTGATGATAAGTATGAACCGTCAGTTCACCGGAATACGCAATGCCTTTCAAAGGTCCCTCATTAGAACATCCAGGCCAAAGACATCCCCACGGCTTATCTAATTGGCCCACCGTTACCCCTGTTTTAGTTTTGGCATGGATCGCTCAAGTTGCTTCAATCCTCTCATATCCCCCATCCTTCGCCGCTTTGATGGGTAACTTTCAATTGATCCATTTACGGTTGACGAACGAACTTCATTACAAGTTCCAAGCATGAGTGTACTACTCCCCTCTAGACAGTTCAAAAATTTGTCAAAATGTCTTTATGACGTTGTAATAGAGGGAAGATATGGTCTCTTGCCGAGAACTAGAATTATCTTGTGCGATCTACCATGAGATTAAGCGAAGTTGTGTTGGGTTGCACTGCCGGGACCTCATAAAAGGAAGTAGAAGTAAAGCTATCCTTGGATGAAAATAAAATTCATTCCACGTTATATAATTGAGCTTGCTATATTGGTAGAGGTGGGGATGCTATACAAATGTGTGTTAAGGGACGTAGCTGTAGAGATACCACTAGATGATCCCATTTATATTTCGAGTCAATGTTCAGGGTACTGTTGGAAACAATTATGGGTGCACAATCTGTGAATATATACTTTCAAAAATTGGGGTACATGTTTGATGGTTATTCGTTGTCCTGCCGTAAATACTGCGAATCTTGTTGAGTGATCTCGCACCAACCTTCATAGGCCTTAGCATTGATACTCAGAACGATCTAGATACATCATTCATCTGCCTTTGTGAATTAATTATCACATCGCTATGAAGGATGCGTTGACTCTTTTGCCAACGACTTTACAAGGAACGATTGAGACTCAGTAATTGGGAGTTAGACGAGAGCCGCGATATCGCGTTCAGTTGCCGTCTACCCCGAAATACTCAATGCCCTTTGTTCTAATGTAAATCGCATAATCTTTCCAACCTCAACCGGTCTCTATGGAGGTTAAGCTATCGAAGGCTTCGCCACCTAGCTTTAGATCAAAATGTGCGATTTATCAATATGCATTAGTGGGATAGAGTCTGAGTATTGACCTGTCATTTCCATATTTCTGATGTGACGGTTATTTTTCAACGGGAACAAGAAGCTGCAAAGGCTCTGATTATTGAACATGTTCAGCAAGTCACATTCCTCTAAATTTGGTATACATGCAAAAACGATGGTATAAAGTAAGCTGATCTTGGCCTCAGGCGTCTTAACCTGAAGTACGTCGACGGGATTGTAAAGTTCGCTATATAAATCCGGTTACCCGGCTCAGCATTGCTGTGCAAGTTGCAGTATGAAGCAAGACACTGAAAAGAAGCCGCACCATAGACCCGACAATACTTCGGACCCTTCAGGGTTAGCCAAGGCTTTAATTCAATTAGAAAGACTGAAATTACGATGGAAATCAGAGCTTAGACGACCATGAGATAGTCAGAGATGTGACGGGCAACGCTATCAGCTTGTGTTTGAGTTTGGTCGATTTCTAGCATGCTGGTATAAACGTCAAGAATGAATGAAATGATGGTCGATTAAAGCCTACATGGGCCACAATAAGTTAGCAATGAGCCGTAGACAGTGATAGCCTGATAAAAGACGATTGCTACCGTGGCCCGGGCTTGTTGATCATTTACTAAAGTACTACGATATTTTAACTGGAATAGTTTCGCATAGCGTTCAAATACCTACACTTACGACAAAACGCGCTGTCAAGGGAAATTTCAATGCGGTTACGCATTCATAGTGCTCCGGATAGACCTACACTTGTTCTGTGGCGGATATTTGAGGGCACTGAGGTGATGCGACCTGATGGAGTTAACGGACTCTTCGGCTTCCCGATTTCTTTGGTGATGCGGGATGAGCACTTCGTCAGTTGAGAAGCCTCCAGTACCAGTGAGAGAGATCGAATATAAAATTAAAACCAGTAATAAAAAGATGCCAGAGCCCGACATCTCAATACGACGAATAAGCTCCGGTATAAAATCCGAACTGCAGGGGCTATCTGCATCTTCAGAATGTTCGGATATTTAGTAAGTATTTCCCCAATGTGGATTACAGCCAACGGCATCACGCTATATGCGATCTAAAAATGCGATGCCAAGACGAAAGATGTTTCCTATTTGGTACAGACCTTTATAACCAGCTCCTCATTATCAGCCGATATCCCCGATTCATGTTGGAACCAACAGCGCTACGCTATCTAGAAAGATGCTGCGAAGAAAAATTGGTTGGTATAAAGGTTCATGAAGCTTCGTACGTAGCTGAGATCTCGATCAAAGGAATATCATCCTCCTCCTCTTCACTGGTGTGTTCAAGCTCCGAGACGGATTGAACTCAATCCACGCCTATCACCAGCATGCCTGCCACTCAGTTCGACATTACGCCTGAAGAAAGAGCTTCGCCTTCTGCTTTCATCAAACGTCAGCTGTTTGGTGGAGCTCCAGTTACTTTCAGAGCGAACGTAAACCTCCAAGGGCAAACCGCCGTCGTCACAGGCTCAAATACCGGAATCGGCCTGGAGTGCGCCCGCCAGTTTCTTGATCTTGGGTTATCGAGGCTTATCATTGCAGTACGAAATGTCCCGAGTGGAGAGATAGCTCGAAAGTTAGTTCTTGAGGGAAGGTCTCCCGGCGAGCATCAAATCGATGTGTGGAAAGTAGATCTGTCTCGCTATGACTCGATTCAGTCCTTTGTCAAACAGTGCGAAACTCTGGACCGCCTGGATATCTTTGTTCACAATGCCGGAGTTTCTAAGGGGAAATTTGAGCTGAATCCCGTGACAGGACACGAGGAGTCAGTGCAGATTAATCATTTGTCTGCCGCCCTACTCTCCATACTCATGCTCCCTGTCATCAAAGAGCGCAATCCGTCAGATCGGCCAGGGAAATTGGTCATCGTCAGCTCTGAAACTGCTGCTTGGTCTGTATTCAAAGAAAGAGAGATGACACCGTTGCTGCCCACATTTGATAAGCCGGAGACGTTTAACCAGGGCGAGTATGGAACCCGCTACTGGACTTCCAAGTTACTGGGGCAGTTCTTCGTCACGGAGTTGGTTAAACACGTCCCCTCATCTGCAGTTGTTATCAACATGTGCAACCCAGGCATGTGTTACGGATCATCTCTCATGCGGGATTTTGCGGGGACGTTCTCTGGCTTTATGATCGGTATTTTCTTTCGCGTATTTGGCTATTCCCCTAGCAAGGGGGCACGCTCCCTGACAGATGCAGCTTGTAATCATGGACCGGAGTCACATGGAATTTATATCGAAGATGGAAAGTTACAGCCGTAAGTATGGTATATCAAGGGACGGTGAGGGGACACGAGCGCTAACTATGCATGCGATGTTTTAGGATGGCGCCACTGATCTATTCATCTCAGGAGACTCAAACTATGGAGAAGGTTTGGACAGAAACGTTGGAGGAACTCAAGTTTGCTGGCGTTCACGAAATCATCAAAGCATTAGGCAACACGAACGGTGCGTAGCCAAAGTAGTGTCTCTGCCATCTCTTGGTTGGATCTCCAAGGTTATCAAATATATAAGCTTGCTTCGGCGGGCGTGTTTAGCAGTTCGAAAGAAAAATGAAGTTTGTCAAAGGAAAGATTATCTAGGGAAGAATAGGGGAGACACGGTTCTCTCAAACCTATACGGGAGACAGCTTCAGTATAAAGTTATATAACGACGAAGATGCCAAACCCGACATCTCAACACAATAATGATTCATCAGAACTACAACGGGAGAGTGAGTTTAAGTTGTCCCGGACCGCGAATTCTTCATGCCGTGCTGTTAGATTTCCGTTAGGCTGGGTTAGGATGAAGGAAAATAAATCGCACATCACTTAAATCATGATTAAGTACGGTTACAGATGTTCTAGAGAAGCGAGACCTTTTCTGCGCACGTCAAATTGTCTTAGAGCTAATAAAGGCTGTGCAAGACTGCTTCGAATAAACTGTTGTCGTTTATTCTTCAGGCCCGACATAGAAAAGCCCGAGGTTACAGGATGAAATATAGGTCTGGAATCCTAAATTTAGGTTCCGAATGAACACATCAACTGTGTTTGTCAGCGAAAATAAAGCAGGATGATATATATGCATTAAAACTGGACGGATTGGGGAAGATACATTGCATAGAAAGCAACGTTGCGCTTACAGCTCGTCACATGCCCCAGGGACAAGAATCAATTCGCTCCAATAGTGGCAACGATGATATAGGCATTCTTTTCATGCGGGGTCTGGACTGAGATGGATGGTCATAATCACAGTCACCGGGCTATTCCGATTCATGCTACAAGCTGAACACTACGGCGCACCACCAAATTGCAACCATGATGCACACCCTCTTCGATGCCTTCTATTGCTGTCTCTTGTCTTTTCATCTCAGCTACTGTTACGCCACACTTCACTCTAGTCTGGGTCTGCCTTGGGGATGGCCACGCGCCAGTACCGTCAGCCACGTCACTCATCCATCGCCGATGGTAGTTGCACACCTTCACTTCTGAGTGGTCCGTTCGACGCCGTCAGCATGCAACAAGCCTCTCTAGGAGCCATTTCGGCTCACAAAAGTGGCAGGAAATTACTAATCACGGGTTCCTTCATGAAAACAAGGCTGAACAGGATTATCGTTGCTAATATCAAACTCCAAGTCCTTCCGCTCATCTATTTATAGCATTTTCCACCCTTCGCAAAACACCAAATCATTCTCTCCATCCATTGCACTCTTATGCTGACAAACCAAGTTTCTTCTTGACTTATACCTTAGTTCTGCATGGACGGCTCTATTACCATGCCACTACCAACATTCAGGGCTCCTTTGGAGAGTTCATTCACCGTCGCATGGATCTGCGCCCTTCAAAAAGAATACTTCGCCGCTAAAAAGGTTTTAGAAGAAGTATATACTGATGCAAGTATCACCCATGCCCGACATGACAATGGACAATATATCCTTGGCCGCATCGGAAGGCTTAATGTGGTGCTCGGGGTCCCTGTGCCAGGCAGTTCAGGATCCATTGAAGCTTTCCAAACCGCTTCAATGATGAGAAGCACCTTTCCCAGGCTGTGTCTCTTTCTTCTAGTCGGAATAGGGGGCGGTGTCAAAACGAAAGACCATGATGTTCGGCTAGGAGACATCGTTTTAGGGACCAAGATAATCCCGTACAGATTTGGCAAAGAACTGCAAGATGGATTCATATCTACTGGCGACTCGATCAAGCCCCTTCGAGAGCTCATGTGGATGCTCACATCTCTGGAAGAAAAGATCCGAGACGGTCTCAGCCTAGAGAAGGAAATTGAAGACGCTGCAAAGAGATTTGATATATACAGGCGTGCAGACTATGCTCGACCGAAAAGAGATCGCTTATACAAGGCCGACTATCTACATGAAGATGGCTGCGATTGCAGCATTCACGTCGCGTCATCGTCTCCCAACTTGATTAGGCGCCGCCTGCGAGTCCCTTCCCAAAGAGTCGTGTTGCACCAGGGAATCATCGCGTCGGCTGACCAGGTGATGAAGAATGCAATCAAACGAGATAAGATTTCCCGCGATACAGGCTGTATCTGCTTCGAAATGGAAGCAGTAGGCATGACGTACATTCCCAACTCACTCTCGATTCGGGGCATTTCTGACTACTCGGATGGACACAAGAACGACTCTTGGCAAGATTATGCGTCATTGGGGGCTGCAGTATGCGCCAGAGAACTTCTGCGAGCGCTTAGTCCGCTGGACTTGGAGCGATGTCGGTTCTATCTTTCACCAAAGGAGGCGGATAACCAAATTAGCGCGGCAGCCCACTTGGTAGAAGCATACTCACGAACACAACAAGAGGACCCTGAGTCTCTTCGAGGCATACTGAGGAAATTGACAGAGCGGCAAGAACTGATGGAACAACTCATCAACCGGAATGTGGATGACTTGAAAAACTTGAATAAAGATGATGGCGATGACCCAAGGTTGGTGGAACTGAAAAATGAAGTCATTCAGCTCAAGCAATCTCATTGTGAACTGAAAGATTGCTTTGTGAAGCTCCAGAAACTGGCAATGAAGTTCACTCTTTCTAGGCAAGATTATGTCACACGTCGAGAATGGCAGCAGGTTGTTTATTTAGTTTGTTTGTTTATTTGTTGTTGTTTAACGTCGCTATATCCTTCGATGAGGATGCAAGCTCGCCGTCCGAGGTCCCTGGTTCGAACCCAGGTTGGGGAACCCCCCTCTTTTATCATATCACAAGGAGTGGGTTGAATAGTCAATGTGTGCCAGTACAATGTGGCAGCTTGGTCCTGTCAGGCGTTTTTACTCAAGGATATTCATTTTATGGAACTAGCTTTTGACCCCGGCTCTTAGGCCACCGTGGCGAGTGAGGTCTTCTCCAGCCAATAACTGTATTTCATTATGTTATTACATTGATACTCTTTTTTTTTCCTTAGAAAATTTACTTGATTGATCAATCCCTCGGTGGGGCAGAGGACGTCTGTCTACACCTATCACGCCCATAAGTCAAGACACAGATAATTGAACGTTCTCGGTCGTGGACGTGACTAAATCATCATCTTCCAATCTACCAAGCTGGCTGGCCACCTTCGTATTGGTTTAGGCCCGGGGAATGTTCCCATCCGGGCACGTGGATATTCAAGAATTTTCCGTTCGACTCTGAACCTGATCGGACGATGACATCGAGGGTAGCTTTGGCAGCAGTCCCCACGTCGAGGTCAGCGTTATCACCACCGATGGGTGTTTTAATCCACTGGTTTCCACTTGTCAGTATGGATAGCCATAAATGGGAACAAGGATGAACTAACCCCTGGAGACACAGCTATGGTAGTGAATCCTTGATCTTCTAAAGAAAGTGCATATTGAACTGTAAGCATGTTGAGGGCAGCTTTTGATATCTTGTATGCTGGTGTCGGAATTTCTCTAAACGTAGGAGCCATAGTAATGGACCCAACGGTCGTTGATCTTTCTTGATGTTAGTTAATGAATACAGCACATTTCTTTCCGATCTCCTGCCTTACATGTTTGCAATCTTCTTCGTATTGCCTTTCTTCAGCAGCGGTAAATACGCACGCGTCACTTGGTGCGCGCTCATTACGTTGACGTTGAACAAGGTCATTAAGTCATCCCTTGACGTATGACGAGTCAGTAACGACCTTCACATGAGATAAACAAATCAAGAACGTTTCAACCCGCTTACATGTGTTCGATTCCCCCCAAGGCTACGCTTGACATGCCTGCTACGTTGACCAGAACATCTAAGCCTTGTCCGCCAAGCGATTTCTCAACCTTTGCAACCGCGGCTCGGATGGAGTCCTCTGAATTGGCATCCATTGAAATGAGTTCGACACGTCCACGGTTATCTTCAGCGAGTTGCTTTACCTCATTTGTTTCCGTGCGGACAGCAGCGAAAATCTTGGATACGTCAGATGCCGGCTTCGCTGCCAATTCGGCCACCAAGGCTAGGCCAAGCCCACGAGAAGAGCCGCTGATGAGATAGGATGTCATTTTGTCGAATTTTTCCGGGGAGTTTCAATTGAGATAGATAGATTGGAAGATAAATTTTAACCGTTGCTCTCGGTCTGATGACTGACTGTTCTGTTAAATATATGACGCAGTGGCGGGCCTTCTGAATGCGGTAATCAATCTTGGCTCACTACTACTCGCTCTTAAGTCCTCTGATACCGACCCTTAACTCCGGTTCGGGCTAAACAGACGGAGAATTTATCTCTTTAATAGGAAAGGCCTGATATTGACTTCTTTGTGTTGTCATGGACTGGAGGGAGTATTCTACAATTGAGCTACGCGTGATGGTTGCTACTATAAGATTCTCAACGTGAAATGAACGATTTATCGTAGAATCCCGGAAACAAATTTTAAAAGAAAGCATGACTTCAAAACTTAGCATAATGGACAATTCCCCTTTATTGAGCACTGAATATAGACAAGTTGTGCGCAATCTTGATAGTTGCCCGGTGCTAGATGAATAAATCATTTACTGTCCGCTTTGTATTCTCCAGTAAAACATGGGGATATGAAACGATACTTGATTTATGGCGGGCTGCCCACGTATACCGTCAGGGTATCGGGAGTGGCATGCGATACCGTGCCCGAGGCATTTTCATTACCATCAGGGTTGACATCGTCGTATGGGAATGCATAGCCTTTGCCATCGACCTCACGGGCGTGCACAGCTTTGCTGTAGTAGTTTGTAGGATCGACGGTGTAGTAGTAGCTCTGACCTAGGCTGGGCTGCACATTACCACCGGAGAGAAGTAGAGTGGAACGGACGAACGCGGCGCAGAGACGGGGAACAACGGCTACATGTACGGCATTGTCGCCGCTCTGGATGGCGAAGGGACCGCTGTTGCAGCCCCAGATGTCGCGAGCAGACGGCTTATTGTAGCTTCGGTTGTCCTGGGCACAGGTCAAAGTGCTGCCCGAAACGCGACACGCAACCGACCCGGATGAGGTCTGAGTGTTCAAAATCAAGTCTTGAGAGGTGTACTGGTTCCAGACCGAATTGACATAAGAGTCCCAGTAGGCGCTGAATCCGCTCGAGTCGATGTCCGAGTAGGAATATGGTGATAGAATGCGGACCGGGTTGTTAGAGTTGGTCTGGCAAAGACCAGCCCAGGGGTAACCATCGCGGTTGCCTTGAGTCTTGAGCGCAGAGCAGACAGCAGCAACAGAGCCTGCGGAGACGCCATATGCTGTTTGGGTATCTCCTCCCTTGACACTGAGTGATATTCCCAACGGAAGGCCCAAAAAGTCAACATAGCTAATATTGGCAAAGAGACTTCCGTCCGTGTTGAGGGTGAGCTCCACGAATCCCCAATTGATACCCGCACTGGGATCCGTCGAGCTAACATGGGATGGTTGGACGATACCGTCACCGCTTCCCGTGGAGACAACCCCAAAGTACAAGGCAGCCGATGCAAAGTAAACGCGAGCTGAGCTGATGGCAATGGGAATAGTCATGCTCAAAGTCTGGCCCGCAGCAACGTTGATCCGAACACTTGAGGGCACCTCCACTGGCGCGGCTGAACCGCCAGAGCTGGGGTACAGGAGGGAGCCGTCAGTGAGGATAAAGACTGCAGCGCCACTCGAGTCTTTTCCTTGCACGTATGCAACGATGTCAGCACCATAGTTGTTGACAAACTTCATAGGTAAAGATGCCGCAACGGCGGAAACACCAATGGATTCAAAATCCGCATTGCTGGACGGAGGAGGGATAACAAGTTCATCTCCAGTGCGGGTGCCGTTGAGGGTGTTGTCCTTGGTAACAACTAGATCCTCGAAGCCGCCAGGGTTAACCTCAGTGAATTCATTTGGGGTTCTTGGAAGAGCTGCGGCGTAGGCAGTCACCGAAGACCCCAGAAGTCCAAGCGCAAAAGTTATGAACCGCATGGTGATATACAAATCAAGATTTCGCAGGTCCTCAAGACTTAGAAGGCCGCAATGAACTAAATTGTCGCTTTAATATGAAAGAGAAAGTGCACTTAAACAAATAAGTGAGGATAGGCAACTATTTTATGTGTCGTTATTCTAGTTCTACTTCTCCTCTTCTTGTTATTCTCGTCAAAACGTCAACTAAAACTTTCTCATGTGACATACTCAACACCCATCATCGAGGCTACCTGCCGTTTCAACTAGGCATCAGACGACACATTTTCAACTTCACGCCTGCGTTATATTCTCACATTCATTAGAAGGCCCGGTCATGAATAGGGAGCAACGTAGTTTCGGTATCACGTAACTATTAAGCTGCCAATTTGGTCGAGGAGTGGTTGCAAACCACAAGTGACGACTATACTAAGCTTTAGACACGTGGTACCCCCAATTACTACCAGGGGTAGGACGGCCCGAATGGTCAATGATGGTAACATAGAGCCACGGAAAAATAAAGAAGCCATATTAGGGGGATACTGAGAGGCCTCCACGGGGTACTAGATGTATAAATAATAGGTAGTGACTATAGAGTTATGAGTCGTATGACAATATCAACACCATGATCGCAATTTACTATAGGATTTGATTGCTGAGTACGATTGCCTAGATCAAAAATATTTGTTTTTATATCTATGCACACCTTGTACCTCCCAAGAAGAAACTACGCTTTCAATTGCATCGTAGTATAAGACCCTCCCCCCTTGTTCAAGAGGGGCCCCGCTAGAGAACTCTCACCTGACACAATGGGAAGTCAGTTGTGCTCACTTTCCTATTCCGCCTACCCCGTAGAGAGATTATTGGGCGATCCTAGTCAGGCGTGTATTATCAATCGAGAAGTTGACGCGCGGCCATCATCACTTCTCAAGAAGGGGATTTCAAATTATACCGATACAGTCGCGCTGCATGTCCCGAAACCCAAGTGTATCCCTTTCCCCGTTGGCCTGAACCTTTACCCATTCTGATTCCACCTTCCTATAACTTCCTCATCCACGAGATGAAGATCAAGCTACTAATAATACCGCATGCCGTTGTCGACTGTCCCGCCTGGTGTTACAACTGCTGTGGGGGGGGAACCTACCCTCTGGATCCATCATGCAAAGCAACAACGCTCCGAAGGAATGTTGTTCCATCTTTACATGACCATACGCCCTTCCAAACATTCCTTCTGATTATGGCCAGGTGGGAGTCATCCGATAAAGCTAAGTACCATAACAGGAACGCAGTGTACTTTGGAGAACATTCACAAGGCCGTGAAGCATTGGGTCGACGTTCTTTTCACCTAATAATGCTAATCAGCTATTACGGTTGCTAACTTCAATTATCAAAGACAAATAAATCTCTCAAAATCTTATAAGGTAACGGTGTGATATTATTTTGTACCTAAGACACATGGCATGCTTCCCAAATGCGTGTGTGCAGACGTAGATAGTGAACTTGAGAGCGCGGCTAAGAGGACGGTGTTACTTCTTTCCTGGGACTTACTTTCTTGTCTTAATTGGATAAATGTTGCGACGTCAAATCGGCAAACCATAATTACACCGTTTCATGGAGGGGCCAGTTATAAAATCATATCCAGGGCGGTTGAGTGAATGACTGACACGTTGCCATTCACACCCAAGTCACCCACCTGGTGCCTTTCGCGATGTCCAATAAAAAGCTACCTAGTCAATATCGTCTACGAGCCACCTGAGGCATGAAAGAGAAACCAAGAGGACTTTCAGACAACCGACGGTGACGCTTCCCCTGGGACTTCGTCCCAGCTATTCGGTCCACGCCTGCCTTAGCCGCCCGCATAAATGAACTTAGGGGATAAGCCTTCTTTAGCCTTCACTATTAGGTCACGGGGCGGATAAACATGGGCTTGACTTGGTATCACAGAAAGAAATTTAAGGTGGCGTCCAAAACTCCAATTAGTGACGAAGCTCTGGAGATCTTCATACGTTGGTGATGAGCACTGCCAGTTGTACGCAAGCAAAGCGGCGTGTTGCAACTACCAACACATCATTGTGTATTGTCGTTTGTGCTAACATTGAAGAGAATCTGCAGACCTCAAGCGGGCAGGCTTAGAGCCTTACATAGGAGTCATGGTAGTCATGGTGGCGCAGTACGCTTTTTGCTCTTAACTTTATCAAGCTTTCAATTTCTACTAAGCAAGCGTAACCCGTCAGAGTTCTCACACCCATACCTCTCACCGCTCGCCCAAGAAGGTTCACTGACCGTTGACATTGCTGTAAATCAAGTGTCCGTGACTCTTGATCCAAGCAGCTCCAAAGAGAGTACTGTGCGGTCAGGCTTCAACCGTACATATCCCTTTACAACTTCGTAGTACGTGAGAGAGCTATGCAGTTATGCGGCAGCTGCTCGAAACATAAAGAGGGAGAATTCCAAACACCAAGAATTCAACAATTTGGTACCATGCCCAATATCACAACACATTAAACTTCAGCCTGTTTGCCCGGCTTACTAGCTTCGTAACGCACCCTTGGGCAACTATGAAGCTGGAAAGCGCAAGGTGTACTGCCGGGCAATGGAGAGTTCAGTCCACCATGACTTTTACGTGAAGTACACATAGGCTCACTCGCAGGGAAGAGGTATATATTCCAGCGCGGATCGTCAAAATGGTCCATCGCTCCCATCGTGGCAACCCATGCCTTCACCAACCCGCCAGAACGCAACTTGAAAACACGCTGCCGGAAACTCAAAATATCAATACCTTCATCAGCCGTCATGCCGCTAATAACCTTTAATCCAAACCCAAGCTACGATGGTGAGCAGGCGATACGTCCACCAAGCTACGATGAGGATCAAAACACAGAACGAGTGACACTCAGGATTGACTCTGCTTGGGACCTACGGCGTCCAATAGGCTGGAGAGATAAAAAGTCCGAACCCAATCTGACTATAAATTTCAGTCCTCGGTCCAATTTCAATTGGAAAGGCATATTCGGGAAGAAAACTTCACCAGATTGGCGTGCAGTGGTAGAGGTCAAAGCGAAGAACATACCGCGTTTGATGCGCACTGGTCTCGACTTGTCAGCGAGAAAGGTTTCTATGGGGACGGACTTCATCAAATTAGACGATTGGACCAAACCAAGATCAATGGGTTGCAGCCCTTGTTGGAGGCATACGCGAACGATTCGCCTGTCAGAAACAATCAAGGACGAAGACGAATGGGACGCCACATTGGTTGTGATTTCCAAGAAACCTTGGGCTATCATCAATTTTGAATTCAGCTGGCTTCAAGCAGATACTATTAGTATCATGAAGGCTTTTGATTGGGATGGCAAGCAAGTTTATCTGACTGATCGATCACGGCCAAGTGCTAACTTCAATACCGTCTACAACAAACATGTGATGGGTGGGTATTGGCCGTGGCCCAAAGAGACTGTCCAACCGATCGTCAGCGGTTCGGATCATCAGGAGGATGAAAGGAGCACTCAAGCGGCGCCAAGTTTCTTGAACACCCCGAAGCCGACGCGGTGAATCCCGACGCGGCATTTTCCGCCAGATATCAGAGTCAATCACAGCTCTTAGTCTTGTTTGAGAAATTTGGTCTAGCATCCTTTATTGATGCTTCTAATCTGCACTCGAACACTCATCCGTGTCAGGGTCACAGCAAAAGGAACGCAAAGAGAACAAGAGGCAAGCAACGAGGATCAGGCGCAATTTAACTTGGAGTTTTTATGAGCAAAGCCTACGGCCATTTTTGTGTCATTTCAGTCAAGTCTTCCCGCATGTTTATGAATTTTAAAGTTGGGGTTTGATAGAACAAAATAAAAAAGAGACTCAGCAATAATGTCAACGACATGCTTTCCCCGGAGCTCAAAATTAGCTATGCCCAAGAGTAAGAGCACAGAGAGGTCATGTCGAGCTGTTGCTGCTCTTACTTATAAATGGCCTTTTTTACTGAAATCTAATTTTTTTTTTGCACTCGGTTTATTCTGTTTTGTTTCAATGTTCCTTTCTGCGGGGACAGGTAAGTGGGTGAAATAAAACATGGCATATCGAGACAGTCCAGCATTGAATTTCAACACAATATCGCAATAATAACCTAGTACTCAACACAATATCATATTACATATCACTGAATAGTTTATTATTGTTATATTATTATCTTTAGTTAAAAAAAAAAAAAGAGGTCCCTGCCTTACGCCGAAAGAGTTTTGGTGTGCCACGTTTTATTCCACCCACTTGACAGGGTACATGGTAAAGATCAAAGCCATGCTCGTCTATGCTCTTTACGAGATATTATCTATTTTTTTTCTCATAACAAACCTCCCAAAACAACCCGTCATCATGCCTCAAGTGAAATCGGGAGAAAGTTGCCTAGTTTTGAGGAACTCTTTGGAATGAACCGAGCCGACACGTGAAGGACGTGGTGGGATAAGCCTAAAGAAAGAACAAGCTTCCCAATCATAGATTTTCATACTCGCACTTCTTGACCACGTAATTGTACTCACAGTGGAGAGACGAATAAGTTATGGCCAAGGATATCTTAGCGAATGTCAGGCTCATCGAATGTGCCAATTGTCGTGGCTGCCGACTTACCCGCCACCATTGCCAAGCCCAGCGAGTTAATATGTGATATGACCTGAATACTTGTACAATCAGGTAGATGGCTAGGATGGCTAGCTTTCTTTCTTGGGGGACACCATTATTCCAATCATCCTTAACCTTCTTTGAGGCAGATTTCTGCTTCTGGGTTGAGCGCGCGCCCATTTCCCGATTAGGACCGGTGTCAGCAGCCAAACCCACAGGAAGAAGAGTCCTGGGTTCGTTGATGGCAGTCAGTTGGCTATAAATATGAGCTCGATCGCTCTCTTCACCTCTAGAATCGACTACTCATCTCCTTCTCCCTATCATCATATACATAAGCACCAGCAACCTCACATTAGTCCAATTCCAAACCATGAAAATAGTCGCAGTAGCAGGCGGTACTGGCAAACTTGGCCTTACCATTGCCGAAATTCTACAGGAGAACCCAGAATACTCCGTCATTGTTCTTTCCCGCAAGGTATGTTTGAGTACTTTAACCAACCCTACATTGAGATATGCCTCACGGTTGTGGTACTAATATGAAAGGCAAAGGCGCAAGACCTACCCAACTCAGCTCTAAAGGTCGTTGGAGTAGACTACTCGAAGCCCCAAGAGCTGCAGGACGTGCTTGAGAGCTACGAGGTCAACACTCTCATTTCCGCTCTGCAGGTAAACAGCCCCGAGTCTGGAGCAGCTGAAATCGCCCTTGTTCATGCAGCGAATGCGTGTTCAACCACACGCCGCTTCATCTCAAGTGACTGGTCGATGCCGATCAATGACCCGTACGTATTCCATATAGTGGCTTGATGTAAAGTCAACTCTCTAAGGGTAGCATTGTTAACACTTTCCACAAGTAAATACTATCTTCCTTACTTGCCTATCCGGCATCAAACCATCGAGACGCTTCGATCGACCGACCTCGAATTCACAACCGTGTACAATGGCACCATCATTGATCAAGTCGGAACGCCGCATATCCGTAGCCACATGGGTGTATATGGCATCCATATCGACATGGCTAATCGAGCTGCAGCTATTCCTGGCTCGGGAGAAGATGTTGTGTCATTCACCTATAGCTTTGATATCGCTCGCTTTGTTGAAGCCGCGTTGGGTCTTGAGAAATGGGAGACGGAAATGTATTGCTATAGCGACAATGTCACGCACAACGAGATCCTCAGGATCGCAGAAGAGACTGTCGGTATGGCTTTCGCTACTCTCCCTGCTATCACTTCCTTACCGTAATCACGGTTCATAAAACGCTGACCATGGCAATCAGGGTGCAAATTCAACGTCGCATACGACCCAATCGAGAAACTGGAGCGAGGAGAGATGACCGAGTTGCCTATCCATCAAGCAAGTTACAAGCGATTTCCAAAGCCGGCGCTTCAGCGGAGATTTTCACTGTTTGGTCTCTATCACGTTTATGGAATATGTTACGTGCCTCACGAAAAGAGCCTGAACAAAATATTCCCTCATATCAAGACACATACCGTGGCAGAGTTGATGGCCCCTTGGAAGAATGTCTAATTCACCGCCTGCGTCAGAAGAGTGACCAGCAATCATTTTCTATCCAGGTTGTCTTTGTTTATTTCCAAATAAAACTCAGATTACATACTATTTCTCTCTTTGAACGCAGAATATTAGAAAAGAAGCGCCGGATAACCCATAGCTCCAAGACAGGCGGCGGCGTCCCACCTGTAAGATCCCTCGTTATCTCGACAACTCCATACTTTCTTCATTATATTGCTCGCCTCCAGAGCGGCGCTCCTCGATTGAATATCTCCCACGGAAGCAAGAACCTTTTGGAAGCATGTTTGTTCTTCTTCAACCCAAGAAAAGCAACCCGCGATGCAGATTGGCCAAGCAAGTGTGCGTATTTGGCTCGGGTCATGCAGCTCTCGTAACAACCGTGCGATTGAATTCGTGTGCAAATTTATTGAGCTGATCTCCAAATTGGGGCCTTCAATAACTGCTTGAAGGTAAATGAGCGCAGCATGGGCGTATATTCTTGTTGGCACAAGAGAACGAATTCCTTCAAGGGGGGTATGTCCAGGCTGATACCAAAAGGAGGAGCCGCGAATAGGGATCAATTGTGCGCCATTAGCGATAGATTTAAGGCCGGTTTCTAGTGACTTGTGTATTTCACTTGCTCGCATGTCAAATTCCTCTTGATCAAAGGCATAGTTCATTAACTCGTCCCTCTTTCTAGCTTCCAAAGCGGCGATATTCCCAATGGCAAGGAGAACCCAGTTCTGGCAGCCAACAAATGAAAAGAGGTCCAAATGCTGGTCTATCTCTTCAGGTGGCAAAGTTCCTAACAGCTTGCCGTGAAGATGGCTTAGACGCGGCTCTCTTCGGAGTGACGTGCTAGCTAGGATATCGATCACAATAAGCAGCGCTGAAAAGAATCGAAAATTTGCCTGGTCCGGGTTCCAGAGCTGAAGCTGGAAGCCGGGGAAATATGGCCGGGGCCAGTTCATGGCATCTAGAATAGCGGATATTCCGACCTCCTCATTAGATCCTAGTCCCACATTGTTGGCAATATCCTGAAATATTAGCAGTGCAGGCGCAAGATGGACCTCCCAATCCGATGTCCGTCCCACGAAAAGATCGAATATCATCAGATGGACGATAGTTGCCATCACCCGCGCCCTCTCTAGTATTGCTGGCTGGCGACCACCCTCCGTCATCGAGGCCAAGTCCACGTTTAGCATTCCGAACGCCATACGGGCCTGGTCAACTACTTGTCCCCACATGGTATACCTACATGCGTCATGTTTCCCGGGGAAGACATCTGCCAAGCCGAAGGTGAAAAAGAATGAACTCAAGCTCAATACAGCATGGGTTGTGGCTCTATTTTGCTTGACAAAGGATAGCAACCAGGCCCTGCTAGTTGCCACAGCGGGTGGTCGATAGAATGGAAACAACAGCGGGAAGACGAAATCGATAAATATCATGGTGAAGTCTTGCTCCCAAGCAGGGCCCAGCGCCGCCAACCGTTCCCCTGCGTGGATACTTTCCGCCTGCTCATTAAATCCAGGCGAGGTTCGTGAAAAGCCCTCATTTGGGGAAATTGAGGAACTTGATTTCGATACATGCTGGCCAGATGGTCCCAATTGATCTCCAAGTGTATAGGACTCAGAGATTAAAGGAACCTCCGGCAAACCAGGCTGAGAACTGTAGTCTTGCTGTGAAGTGACGTGAAATGGTAGGTCGCCCTTCGCGCGTCTGGCGTTTGCACCAAGTCTAATCAATTTCTTGATTTTTCCACCCATGGCCTTCTGGCGTGGTCCACCGTCCATCCATTCAGGCTTCTGGGAGCCCCTGTGGCATCGAATAGCCAAGTCGAGACAGCTTCCACATTCTGGACTCGCCCTATCACATCTCTTCCGACGAAGTCGACATGTCCAGCATGCAGCATCGTTGCTGGGGTTCCGAGGCATTCTCTATCACAATTGTCGAACGTTGAGGATTCAGAGGTAGTAATGACAACGACACAAGCGAAAAGGCCGCCCCGTCCGTTGAGACTTGACAGGGGCCGCTCGGATACTCGGCCCAGAATCTTGATCACTACGTACGCTTAGCAGAAAAGGGAATTGCTGACGATCTTCCCTTGTCGCGGAGTTAATGGACTTAGCCAATCGAGTGTTATTTCCTCCTCACTTGTTTGGCTCGGAAACAAGGGATGGCGGGCTTTCCACAGCATCTAGGCAGTGAATTTGAGGATGTGGTGCTTTTGTTTAACGAACAAAATGATTGAATATTTACTCTTGGACGGGTCGAAGTTTAATAGACTCTCTGGTGAAACCCAAAATTTAGAAGGATTGACATAACTTACTCGTACATCAACATGGAAATGCTGAATAGCAATTTGAAATGTAAGTAGACATTTTTTATACTGAAAACTTAACATTCAGGCCTATTAATTTCATCTTGGGCATATTCTAGAGCCTTTATATATTGGATATTACCTACCATCTGGTGTCAATGTCTTGGTTCTCTGCAATGTGAGATCTATAGGGTAAGTACTATTTTTGGAGATCATGGATGATTGCTGGAACAGGCCACTGACTAATCAAGCTGAGAACTCATTTTCCCATTGTTTCACCGTCTCGTCTTACTCTCATCAATTTCACCCGTTCGTCAGATCGTAGAGTCCGTCAATTACTATAAATGACCTTGTTATGGGGCTAGGGCGGAAATGCCGCCCAGACCGAAATATAGCAGAGGGTGTCACGCTTGTCGGCGGATGAAGGTCAAGGTGCGGCATCTGCTCAACTGGAACTCGGGACCGAGCTGACAAAAGGAGTCGACTGAGTAGTGTGACGAACAGAAGCCCCAATGCCGCCGTTGCATCAAGGGCAGGAGAAAATGCCCCGGATTCCCCGAGATTAGTAACTTCTTGTCCATGAATGACGACTTTCCTAGCCAAGCATCTGAGACTGCCTTGCCAAAACATGCAGTCGCCAATTCTGAGCATCAACTGTCAAAGGGACATTTCAATATTCAGCCCTCTATAGACTGGCTCCAGCACGCCATGGGGTACTTCTTCAAGAACTTTGTTTATACCCCCAGTCCCGATGGATTGGGTTATCTCCAGTTCCTCCCAGAACTACTATCGACCCAACCGAACAATATCTGTCTGCGAGACTCATTGAATGCCGTGGCCATGACGAGCCTCGCAAATGTTTCAAGCACTAGTATTCTTCATTTCAAAGCCGACCAACTATATAGCATAGCCTTAAGGTCCATGGGTGCGGCACTTCGATCGTGTTCTGGCGAGGATGATGCTGCGCTACTGGCAGCTGTTTTCTTAATTCAGAAACGAGAGGTTGGTTTATCACTACTACTATCTTGTTTGTTACTTTTCGTTGACTGGGGCCCTAGGCATTGAGTGGTAACGTGAACGCTATGAAGCCCCACGAAACGGGCCTGGTCCAACTTTTGCGAGCGAGAGCCCCGAGGAAGCCTCAAAGTGAGCCAGAGGCTGGCTTGCTGTGGACAATCCATGCCCGATTGCAATTACGAAGTATGGATGGCGGCAAATCTTGCGCTGAGGGCTTGGATGCGCTTGACCTAACTAAGGGGCCTCAAAGACCACTTCAGTCGGGTTTGAATCACATGTACGGCAACGTGTCCAAGTTCTGCCGAGACATAAAGCGGCTGACCAAATTAAACGCGGACGGGCTGTCCAGCTCGTCCTCTATAATTGAACTCACGAGAGCTCTTGATAAGGCCTTTGAAACTGAAAGAGAGCTCGCAGCATGGCCGTCGAACCTTCCGCCGGGTCAAATGCCTAGAGCCGTTGAACTTGCATCAGGCGAAGTATCCCCTGATCTGAGGTTTATAAGCAAACTATATACCTTTCCCCAGATTCAAGACGGGTGTCGATGGTCAGTGTACTGGACTAGCCGTATCCAACTTTTAGGGGCAATAATTGAAGGCCTCAATCTGGTGTCCCAGACGGGAATGCGGTATAACTCACCTTTATCCCGGGAAGCCATCAACCATGGCATGCAGTCAGCTGCAGACTCGATATGCTCCACGGTGCCCTTCATGATAGGCGAGGTTGACCCCGAGGGGTGCCCGATGGTTGGCCAAGGAGGTCAAGCTTTGGGAGCATACTTTGCGACTCGATTTATTCACATTGTCAACGAGATTCCTTTCCTCCCTGAGCAGCAGAGATTATGGACCTTGGACTGTCTGCTCAAGCTTGGCCAGGTATGGGGCATTGGCGCAGCCCTCCAGTCGAGAGCACAAATCACGAAGCGATACCAACTGGTGCCCGTCATTTGATACCACCGCCGCATAGAATTTCCAATTAGAAGATAGCGGGTGGTCTCAAAGCGACCTGTGACCCGTGCAACGAACTGGCCATCGACATTCGCAGTCATACCTGACCAGCGAGGGGAGGCAGGGGTCGCGTAAACCCCACGCTCTCCTATGACATTATAGCCGGTCGGACAGTTTGATTTTTGAAAGTACAATTATTGGGTACAGGGCGTAGACTGGCCAATTCACGGCGATAAACAACATATTCCCGTTAATTAGGCTCCATGTACGGTGGTACTAGATAGTGATGCAGGCATCGTGGCAGAAGATCCATCCATCACGGGACAAGCAAACCGACGACCCCATCGCAAATCGCGCTTCATACGCTTTTCAGTTAGTGCTGCGATCGACTCCACAGCCTCAGCCGATGTTCTATAGTATAACCCTGGTCGCAGGTTGCACCACCCTCTTCAAATGCGTCTTGTTATCTTGAGAAACGGATCCGATTGAGATTACCTGGGACGCCATGTATCGGCTTCCTGATTCAAATTGGTATGGCGTATCCGTATGCCATCCGGACTGTCAGAGGTATTACTATTTAAGGCCGGTCTCATGTGTGTCCTCCTGATCCTTCAGAATCTTACTCAACCTACTGTTTCTCTGTTGCCTTCAAGTCTGTTCGTCTAATGTCACATCAACATCAACTCATTGCTTAGCACACAAGACAGTCACTTCACAGTTCTGGCACAATGTCTGAGGACAACTCTGGATCTACTGATCGCAAAATCGCAATTGACAATGTTAGGGTGTTCGATGGGGAGATAATAAGGCCTCCATCTACCGTGATAATCGATGGAAACATAATTGGCAACGATGATTCAGGCATAAGCGATCGAATCGACGGCCAAGGAGGTGTTCTTCTTCCCGGCTTTATCGAGTCCCATTCTCATCCACGAAAGATCACAGACCTCCAATCTTTAACTAGCCATGGCATCACTACCGCCTTCCAGCTGGCATGCTTCTCCAAAGAACATGTCCATTCTTTCCAGAAGCTCCCCGGTCTCGTTGATGTCTACTCTGCTGGCGCCCCAGCCGCTGCTCCCGGAAGCATCCACGGGAACATGATTCAGAACATGGTCTCAATGCCAAACCTACTAGTACAAGGAGAGGACGATGTTGCACGTTGGGTCGACGAGCAAATCTCATGGCAACCCGACTTCATTAAATTGATCGCACAAACGCCCGGCCTCTCACAAGAGACTCTGAACGCACTAGTCGAAGGTTCTCATAGGCATGGTAAGCAGGTTGTGTGCCACGCGGCCGATGCCAACTCTCATGCTCAAGCCATGCGATCCGGTGCTGACCAGATCCATCACACCCCTCTTGACAAGCCAATTACCGCAGATCTAGCCCAGGAGGTCTTGTCTCGTGGCCAGATCCTCGTGCCCACTTTGTCGGTGATGAAGGCCTTTGCCGGGCTAAATCGGCCTGGCCTAACGAGCTATGAGTCGGCTCGTGAATCACTCCGGATATATCATGAGGCTAGAGTCCCGATCACTATAGGCACGGATGCCAATCATGAGATTGCCGCCGTGGTTTCCTTTGGGAAGTCATTCCATGACGAGCTAGAGCTCATGATGGAGGCGGGTATGACAAGTCTAGACGTGCTTCGGTCAGCGACGGTGTTGCCGGCTAAGCACTGGAACTTAAAGGATCGTGGGGTTATTGAGCCGGGAAGGAGAGCGGACTTGGTTCTGATTGAGGGGGATCCGATTGCCGATATTAAAGCTACTCGGAATATCAAACGAGTCTGGGTTGCAGGTGAAGAGTATACTGGTCCTCGTGAAGGGGCGATGGAAGCATAGCAAGCCGAGAAAACTTTGGCAACCGTTCTTGGGAGCATTATCACCTCGATATCCGTGAAGGCACTAATGCCATGTAATGAATTATCATGCTCGGAGTGTCAGTAGTTTTTATAGAGGTCGTATTTCTTAGGCGATATGATCCGATATAAATTACAACTGGTATAATACTCTTCAAATAGCCATGGGTAGGCCGTACTCTGAATGGAGTCACTCCCATTCCCACATTTCAGATCTTTGATACTTGCCAGTAAACCACTGTCTCACCACAGCCAAAGGACGATCAGCCGTCATACATATCAAGCATTCAAGGAGGGTTGATCATACAAAAGTCATATAGAGTGTAATAAGGAACATCTTAAAGTACATTCGCTCAATTTCAACACTCGTAGCTGAGCGTTACAATTTAGACGGCAGCCCCTCCACCTGTTTAGCCCCTTCCACTCCACTAACCCAAGAGACCCTATCCTTCACAAATATTTCGTGCTGTGGCCTCAATTTTGTTTCATGCAGGTTGAAGTCATCAACCGTGCCAATGCGGAGAATGCTGGCTCCAGGCCAGCCCGAACCGGTCCGGTACATCAGTGTTCCGCAGGTAGAGCAAAAGTGATTTGTCATTGACTCCTCTCTCAGTATCGTATCTGACTGAGAGAATTCCTTCAGATTCTCTTTGCCTCGGGCATGATTCAAGTGTGTATTTGCAACTGTAAAGTTGGAAGCGAACATGGACGCGGTGATTTTGCGGCAATCTGTGCAATTGCAAACGAATGTGTTGAGCAAGCCGGGACCTTGAGTTGGCTAAAGTGTTCAATGTTAGCATTTATATTGATAGAGCTCTTAACAAGTGATAAGAGGGCATAGAATCAGGAGCATTGGAGCCTCACAAAGACTAGCTGTACGGCCCCACAAAAGCAAGTAGCGGTGGCTTCCTCATCTGTTGACCAGCCATCTCGAGCGAGACTAGCAAGAGGGATGTACGGCTTGGACTTATCCGCTGTTGCTGCCATCTTGAGGAACTCTGTTTAGGAAGCGGGGTAAGAAAGTGTGGTATTTTATTAGAACTTCTGGGTATGAGGTGATGAATTGGAAAAGACAAAGATTTGGCCTGAGGAATGAAATGTTCATATAATTAGATACACAGCTCGATTGAATAATTCTACTGATTTCGAATCATTGATGGTCGATTGATTTCGAATGATCTATAATCGGTGCAAGAGTTGATCAGGAGTTTCGGGACGGGATATCCTGGAACATCGGAACGGAGCTTCACTCCGGAACTCCGCGTTTGATCCGTAGCTCCGGCCGAAAATGAGCAACCCCGACACCATGTGATTATCAGGATACCAGTATAGCAAGGCGAATTTTCTTGAACTTTATGCCTGAAGCTGAAATTTACATGGTTTAGCTTTAATCGATAATTGTATTCTTATTCTAATCGCAATTGAGCTGTCAAATTAATTCATTTAAATCTTCAAGAACGCGCAATAACAGCATGTGTCGGTTGCTTTTGCCCTTCTCTTTCTTGAGATGCATCTAATTGTAAATCTAAGAGGAAAGAGATATGCTTACTTATCTATATAGCAGAGCACAGATCATCAGTGGACTTCAACATTTCCACAGCTTAGAGCAGTACAAGGTTGGTCAAAATAATCATCGACGTTGTCGTATATATCGCCCATAAGGTGATAAGCCCTTTGGACCTTCGAGTAAGCACAATCTGGCTTTAGATCCTTCTCTGTATTCTCGCGGTATTGAGTTCGGTGATACCTAAGCTACTGTTTCATAATTAGAACAACGTAGTTGTGTACAGAGTTTCTTTGAATATAAAATTCAACTGGTCTTCGCTCGGATGATTTCCGTGGAGAATTGCACAGGCTAACATCCTTGTCAAGTCTCCAGGATACTAAGGCTTGAGGAGATGAATTTTGAAACGTTTTCCTGAACACAATCAGATTTTCCTATGAGTATAGCGCTGTGTCACTTTCACTAGAATGATTGTTTCGATGGATCACAAAAAGACATTCTCCGAGCATATTCAATCCCCTCTAACTCTAGTTGCGCTCTCCATAGACACCTAGATCCATCTCAATCGTAGCACAAGGTGATCTACCGTTAAGTTGCCGAGGCACCACCAGAAAATTCGGCCAGTAGAAATGGAATACCAGCCATTGGAAGAAATATATAGCGAAAAAGCGGTAAGGGAGAACTACCCAGCAATGGAGCACAGAAGCCCACATTGGGTACATCACCTCTCAGGGGATATGGAGGTTGAATTTCTTTTGCTACCTTCAAGGATACATGTATTCATGCAGCTTACGCTACCCACTCCCCGTAAGCATTGATGCCTAGTATTTTCGTGCCATCTCTCTCTTTCAGGCAGCGAGCTGAGTCACTGCCTACACGAATATGATAAAGAGGGGGGGTCCCATCCCAGTCTCCCACTCAATCCTAGTTCAGCCTTTCCCTTCTATAACTACTTTGGGCCAATATTTGCGATCTTCCCTTCTCCCCCGACATGGTAGCTGACAAGCAAGATGAACAAGGGTCCGTAGACTCGCCAGCCCAAGTTCTTGACTTTGACTATGCTTGCAAACCCTGGAGGCTCAGTTCTCAGCGTGTGGCAGATCTCTATTATTCCAGAACAGCATTCTGGTCAAAAGTCGACTTACAAGATATTGAGAGGTAGTTGGAGTAGTCGTTCCATCTGGAAGTATTTACACTCCGGGACCTTGAAGGTAAACAAATTCGAATTAAGAACCCCGGATTTCAGATTGAGCGGCCAATTTGGTCAGTGCTTTCACAACTCTCCCACATACTGGAAGAATTGCCTCGCTAACTTCTTAAATTGAAGGCGACCCTACGTCAAGTATCAAGGCTACTGGACTCTGGTGCTGTCTGAGCCTGAAAGCCCAGCGGAACTGCACAAGTCCACGTATCTTATCGGTTGGAGGAACACGGCGGCTGAAGGTTTTAAACACAAGATTGAGAACTGGCAGGAGCTTTTCGACATCAGAAGCCAGCTTTGGAAGGCAAGCATCTCATGCAAGTTGTTCAAAGTGGAGTTAAGCAGGCTCTTATTTGAGAGCCAGTATCTATGCACTCGGAAAATTACCAAAATCATCTGCTTTGGGCTTGGACTTAGCAGGTGGCCCCCATCTGGAGATATATAAATCGAAAAAGGAATGTTCTGCTGACCAGATGACTTCTGGTCCCATGACACAGCATGCCATGGCATTCACTGTGGCAGAGGAGATCAGGAAATTCAACCCCGGCATCCGTTTGATTGCGCAAAACCCTGGATATAGGGACTGCACAGTGAACTTCCTACAGGAAATTGGATTCGAAGTTCGAAGTCAAAGGACAGTTTGGAGCTGGAGCTTTCGTGGACGTTGATGATGAGTCTCTCGTTATTTCAGCATATGCCTCGGCGCCGGTTAGAGAAATCATCGCGGACATTGCTAAACCAGCTATGATTATCGCGACCTTCTGGGACAGCGGTATTGTGGCGGATGAGAAGAGGTATGTGATGTTCCTTTGACCCCAGGAAACGCAAAACTGAGTATCAGACAGCAGACTGATCTTTATAAATAGCAAGCCGTTCCTTGACGCGGACTCTCCCCGAACCATGGAGATGTGGGAGTCCTATGAAAGAACAGAGTTCCCAGTATCAAATATGGAACGTGAGCTGCTGGAATTCGGCACCCATTTGGAAGTGTCTCTCTTTTCTCGGAAATGAGTGTTGAGGCAAGAGATTTCATATTTGGCACAAGTAGTACCGGTCCTATTTGGCCTCTTGCGGGTCATGTGCTACAACCTCAATCTCAACACGCATATCATCCTCTCCAAGACGCGCCACGCCCACACAGGTCCAGATCGGTTGGTGATCCGGCATATATTTCTTGAAGTTCCGCACCATGGCTTCCAATGCTTCGTTGTTCAAAGGGACGTGATAAGAGTTCACACGGAAAACCTGGGACCACCCTTTGCCCCCAGCGTCCTTCAAATTGAGCTCCACGTTGGAAAACGCAAGGTCGATTTGCGCATTTATTTCCTTCTCAAACACGCCAGTCTCGGGATGCCATCCCCCTTCAAAGCAAATAAGGATATCAGCTTCACTAGGTATGAAATGTGTTCGTCGGCTAAAGCGTACCTTGGCCAGAGCATTCGATCCGATCGCCTACTCGAACGGCCTGGTTGTAAGAGAACGCCGCTCTCTTTTCGACTCCCTGGCCTTTATAGGCATAGTATTGGAGATGAGACATTATTTCTTTACGATGGCACTGGAGTAAAATGCAAATATCATGAGAGTACTGCGTTCAAGCTACGAGAGGTTTTTAGGCAGGGCGATCATGCTTTATATTTCGAACATTATCAATCGCCCCATCCTTTCTTACAAATCAAATGAGAGTTCGCGGAATGTTAATTCCTTGGGCTCCACAAAGTGACTTCATCCCACTTTGTACCTCGCCTCCAAGTAGTGGAATTTCTTAAGGTCCGGAGGCGTCAGTATTTATGGCTGTTCCCACAAATGTAATTCAGTTTGTGAAAGTAGATCACTGTAAAATGAGATGGTTTATTTGTAGAGAAGATATAGGTTTTCAGAATAAAACATGAGAAATTAGGAGAATTAAATATATTCATAGTTTTCTATAGCTCTTCTAGATCATGTAAAAAACCTTTATATAAAACTATTCATATTTACTTCTGAATCGTCAATGTAATTAGATAATCCTTCTGTTCTAAGAAAAGAGATATATTTCTAATATCTTATAATCCTTGCCAACAAGTAGAGTTATGTAGGTATGTTAAGTGCGTGGTATAGCGCCGGAGAGCTACATACCCCTTCCGCTATCGTCAAACATGTCCATTCTCATGGTTTCGTTTCAGTTTTGATTTACCAGCAAATTCGCGGACGAGAGAGGTACCTGCTACAGCACATTCTAGATAAACCCGCAGGTACATTGTTGCAAAATTGGGATCCCGATGATGACCACCAACGATGCCTTCAAATACCTGTGAACACTTATAGGTCAAAGCTTGAGTATTTTAGGTTACTTGGCCGCTGATCACTTTACCTAGCTGCTGTTATTCTCCACACGTGATGGAACGTGCCCTGCTTGAGGTGAATTGGACTGACCATGAGTAGCTCGTGTAGCTTTGGGATGTCAAGAGTAATGTCCCTGAATTCTTTGGCCAATATCAATCCACGCAAGGAGCAGTCTAAAACAGCGAGAAAGGCGGCAGACTGAGCGATGCGGCAAGATTTGTTATGGCATGTCACTCTTTATCGTTGACACTCTACTGGTTCGGGGCAGTCCCATAACAATTACGTTTTATTCAAGGATTCAAGGGTAGGACGCGTACGTCTGGGGTATGGCATGATGGCTTTGACGGACGCGTCATTAAAAAGAATACATTATACTGCAAAAGACGGCATATACTGTGCCGAACTTATTTGGGCGAGGATTTAAGACATATAAAGCGTTTTCTCTCTGATGGGATTTCTTTTTTCTAATTACCTTAATCATAGCTCCATCGAATCAAACTAGTCCTATATAGCTACCAATACCTATGATGCACGCATATGTTTTCTCCACCGTCTTGGGGCTACTTGCTTCGGTCGCCAAGGCGGCGCTGTATGAGACCGTGATCCAAACCCCCAATGGCCCTGTCCAGGGTTATCCGGCCTTTAATAGCAGTGTTGCCGGCCTGAATCTTACCAACTGGCAAAAAGTCACTGTCTGGTAGGCGCAAAAAGATGCAGGCCGAGAAGTGAATCAGGTGCTGACCTGTGATATAGGAAAGGTATCCCTTTTGCCGCCGACACATCGGGGAACAACCGCTTCCGTCCTCCTCAAAACGTCACAGCTTGGAACGCAACTCGAGACGCCAAGGACTATGGATACTCTTGTCCGTCATCCGGCACCACTTACGCCACGATTGGCGAAGACTGTTTGAACGTTAATGTTTGGAGCGCAGCTAACTCTACGGATGACAAGCTGCCTGTTGTCATGTGGAGCTATCCTGCCGGCGGATCTAACGCTGATCCTCGTTTCGACGGCGCTGGATTGGCCGACAAAGGTGTTGTTTTTGTCAATTACAACTATCGTACCGGCCCAACCGGCTGGCTTGTGTCCCCTGAGTTGACAGAGGAAAACCTAGCCACTATCGGCCTCAATAGCTCGGGAAACTGGGGCATGCTGGATCAGTTTGCTGCTCTACAATGGGTACGGGACAATATTGCTTCCTTTGGTGGTGACCCTGAGCACATTACTGTTATGGGCCAATCGGCTGGTTCCGCTGCGACTTATCACATTCTAAACAGTCCCTTGACCAAAGGCAAGATTGTCGGCGCAATCATCCAAAGTGGTCTTCGCGATCCTCATGATCCATCCGCTGTCGAGCTGGCTGAAGGCTACCAGACCTACGACGTTGCCGAAGAATACGGTGTCTCCTTTATGGAAAGCGTCAATTGTTCCACGATTAGCTGTATGCGCTCCTTGCCGATGGAGACCCTCGATACTTCTGAGTTTGGAGGTACATCTGGCGCATCTTTCAAGGGAACTCTCGACTATTACTGCATGCCTGATACTTACCTGAACACGCTCAAGCTTGGTCTAGCTCACGACGTTCCTATAATGACCGGTAATACAAAGGACGAAAGCGGCGCTTCTTATGGGCTAAATATCACACTCGCGACATACCTCTCGAGCTTGAATAGCACTTTCGCCAGCTTTGCGGACAAATTCCTCGAAGCTTACCCGGCCAACGACTCTGTCACTGCTTCTGCTGCCCAGAATGCACAGTACACGGATCGTTCCACGGTTGGCACGCAATTTTGGGCCAACTACTGGCTGAGCAACAGAACTAGCCCGGTGTGGACCTATTTTTGGGATCATGCTCCTCCGGGACAAAACGCCGGCGCTGCCCACATGACGGAGATTCAGTATACGCAGTACAATCTCTACAATGTGTACTACGGTGAATGGGAGGAAGAGGACTATGAGATTGCTGAAAAGATGAGCAACTACTGGGTTAACTTTATTAAATACGGCAACCCCAATGGCGATGGTTTGATTTACTGGGACAATGTCAATGCCAGTACAACCACAACTCAGGAGCTTGGAGATGGTTGGGGGCCCAAGATCATTGCACATGATGATCAAATTGCGCTCTTCGAGTCCTGGCTTGCTTCGCTGGCGGCCATTTAACTTGAAGGCTGGGCTTGGGAACTTCGTTCGATCGAGAGGCTATAGTCATAATGCAATGGAGCGGCAGTGGGCTATAGTAACGGCCGGTACTCCGTTTGTTCTCCAGCAACAGGTTCTTATCCACCAGCTGGGCCAAGCTAATATCATTCAAAGTATCTATATATGAAAAAAAAATCAAGTAAACTCGAATAATAGCTTCGCATAATTTTGAGCGTTCACCAGTCCACAGCGTGCATCAAAGCGCCCAGCTTCCTCACCCACTTTAGTAGTAGTCGGCTGTTGATGAGAGGATACTGCAGAGGGCCAATTTGCGACGCCGGACTAAAGAGGTAGCTGTTCGGAGATCTGTTCCCATCGTGCTGCCGGCAAGTGGTGCGATTTGCTGGTGGGATCTAGGATTGTTAGGCTGATCGTAGGCTTATGTGTGAAGATTCGCCAAGGGGTGACATTAAATCTGGTACACCAGTAGGATGGATATCGTATTGCCCTGGTGCTACAATTATGTCACCTCTTGGCTTTCTCCGGTCACTTGATCGGCAACTTCTTCAGTGGAGTTGAGCAAGAATGAATAACGTAATGAGCCCTCTTCTCCCCACTGAATCTCCATCTACTTGACTCATCGATCCAATTGCCCGTGTTCGGACTCTACATATTATTAATATGAACATCTTCACAAGGCCGGATCATGCTCCCGGGCCGGAAGAGCGCTCTAGGGCGCTCTTGACTACACCGAACAATCTTTCGGACATTCCTCGCGGGGCGATATGGCGGGTAGCGGAGGCTTGAGATAGGTTATTATTGCCCTACGAGTTTTATATAAAAGGAATACCCCCCAGACATCCGTTTTCCCATTAGTTAGTCTCAAACTAATATCCTCAATTTTCTCTTTCTGCCCACTCGAGGAAGCAGGTCTATTGCCTCAAGTTGGATAGAAGAAATGGCATCTGAGAAGGATACCCATGGCGCTACTTATGACTGCGAAAACCGAGAAGAGGAGTCTGACCAAGGCCAACTACTTCCGCCCCTGCCACCTACTGACAATGGACCGGAAGCATGGAAGTACTTGATCGCATGTTTTGTGGTTGAGGCTCTCCTTTGGGGTACGTCCATTCTCAATTTACCTCACCCGTCTGTGATTGAATAGAGAACAGAGAGGGGATAAACTAACCGACCTCCTTTTTCGCTGTTTCTAGGCTTCCCAGTCAGTTTTGGAGTCTTTCAAGATTACTACTCCCGGCAGCCCGAGTTTGAAGGCGACAGTAACATCCCTGTTATTGGTACCGTTGCTACCAGTCTCTATTTTCTCGGCGCTCCTATCGCAGCTCCAATCGTTAAGAGATTCCGCCGCTTCCAGCGCCACATGGTGGTCATTGGATCCATCATTTGTGTTCTATCGGTTCTGATCGCGTCTTTCGTCAACTCGATCCCAGCTCTTATCGCCACACAGGGTGCACTTTACGGATTTGGCTTCCTGATGCTTTATATGCCACTTCTGTTTATGTTGAACGAATGGTTCATCAAGCGTCGCGGATTTGCTTATGGTGTCCTTTACGCCGGAGGTGGCTTTAGCGGCGTTGGGTTGCCCTTCCTTCTCGAGTGGTTATTGAGCAGCTATGGACACAAAACAACTCTACGGATTGTCTGCATCTCACAGTCTGTTTTGGTTGCCCCGTCACTCTTCTTTCTCAGGCCACGCTTGCCTTCTTCGCACCACGACAAATTGCAACCCCTTGATATTAGGTTCTTGAAGAATCCGCTGTTTTGGGTTTTCACGGTATCAAACATCTGCCAGGGCTTAGCATACTACTTCCCTCCCCTATACCTCCCGTCATATGCATCGGACATGGGCATGTCCGGAACTATCGGAGCAATGATTCTTGCCGCAAACAACCTTGCTACCATATTTGGGCAGATTGGCTTTGGTCATCTGACGGACCGCTGCAGCAACATTCACATCCTCGTCTGTACTTCTACCCTGGGTGCCTCCCTCTCTGCCTTCCTCTTGTGGGGTTTCTGTCACCATCTGGCAACGTTGCTTATCTTTTCAATCGTCTGGGGAATCACTGCCGGCGCGTACGTGGTTTTCTGGCCCAAGTTTGGCACCATGCTGTCTGAAGATCCGCAGCCTGTGTATTCTCTCATGGCACTCGGCAAGGGCGTTGGAAACATCGTCACTGGTCCCATCTCAGCTGGTCTATTGACCAGGTCTTTATCACTTGGCAGTTACGGCCTGAACAAGTATCAGCCATCTATTCTATTTGTGGGCTCTCTTATGTTCATCTCTTCTCTCGCTATTGTTGGATGGCCCGTTCAGCGCTTAATGGCAAGAAGAGCTGATGTCTGACGAGGAAAATTATCTCTGGGTAAATATTGTTTCCCACGTGGAGTTCCCATCATTAAAACATAACTGCATCGAACTTCATATTGGATCCTAGAAAGCATGAAATATAGCACGTGGGACAAGCGCGTTAAACACCACTTGATTCCAACATGCAAAATGCAAAGATATTCAACTGTTTAATAGTTCACCAACATCCAAACAGCACAGGATAAAGTTCGAATTCCCAGAGTTCCAATTAAAAAAATAAATCCAAGTCTCACTAAACCAATGATTGAATCTATTATGTCCAGTCTATAAAGCCATCTATTAGTGGGGTTTCCTGCTTTGTTGCAACTTCTATTACTGTGATAAGTCCAAGGTCTTCCACAGCCATTTTACTAGTCCTTAGGATTTGACAGTCGAATTTTCCGTCTCCTCCTCTCTCTCCTCATTATTGTCCTTGGCTCCATTATAATCGACGCCTACCTTGCGAACGACGAGGAATGCTGGAACTATCGCCAGGCCCCACAGAGCAAAGTTAATACCCAGGCATACAATAAGCTAAGACATCGTTAGTATATGCCTCTGGCAACATGGCAGGAAATCAATGTCTTACCGGAGTTTGTGTAGAGCTGATGCCCGATGAAATGCACTGCCCAGCGCTCTCGAGCGCCCGCACATATGAGGTGAGTCGGGGAGTATCAGCAGCCTCTCTCGCCAGGAATCCAATGAGCCAGTAGCCAAAGTTGTATGTCAGAGCCCAGTTCATCTGCCAGAGGATGTACAAGGCCCAGCCACGGCCGAAACCAGAGTCATCCCAGTCAAGCCCCGGTGGCTTGTTACCATACTCGCGCTGGATTATCACGCCCCAAATCCAGCAACCTCCAATCAGTGCCATCATAATTAAGTAGGCATACTTTGCACGGGAGTTGAGGGAGAGACGGGTCCAATCCAAGAAGGTACCCATCAACAGGGTTGCAGTGATTTGGGCCAAGGAAGAAATAAGGGAAGCCAGAGCGCGGGAGCGAACTGAGAAATACAGAGAAAGATAAGATCCAATATATGGAAGACACCAATTGATGTAGATAAACAGGGGTGTTCTGTTGCCGATGGTTAGCAGCGTTCCACTTCAAGGTCGGTGGGGTTTACAAAGCGCAGGATCTTACAAGAGTAACAGCTCCTTTCGTACTACGAGCCGGCCAAGAGCCTTGAGTTCGTCCAAGTCGGAGATACGTTTAATCAAGTTGATTCGGGTACCGTTTCGCCTAACTACCTTCTCTGGTGGTGAGAGAAAGAAGCCAGCAGCTGGTCCAAGACATTCTTCATCACATACTAGTCAGTGGTTGTTATCTTGGAAGGGGAAACATGGGCAGTTCAACTTACGGAGAACGACGAAGACAATATACGTCCTCCAGTCAAGTTTTCCAGTCCTAGATCCCGTGGCGTTGAAAGCCAGGTTGATAATTCCTCCAAGGATGCTCCCGCTGTTCCTATAGCACAGCCAGTATGCAAGATATTTGCCTCTCGTGTGCTGCTCAGGGTAGAGCAGCATGATAGCGCCTTCTGCAGCCCAGAATAGACCAGCCGTGATACCACATGCAGCTGAACCAACATAGATGAACCACTCCACACCATAACGGTTGTTAGTGTACAATGCCGCCGAGTACAGAACATAGCCTGTAGTGCCGAGGATGAGGGTGTTCTTGAGGCCAATACGGTTGGCAACAATGCTACCACAAAGACAAGTGATCGTCATCAGAGAAAAGAGAACTGCATTGCCGGCCCTAAACACAATAGAATGTCAATAAGGATGCATTAAACGTATGGAACAAGCTCAGACTTACATCACCAGGAACGGGGTCTGTTGGCCACCTGCACCAACTGAATTCATGGCATTCCATAGCCCGGGTGCTGTGAAGGCCGCAATTCCAACAACCGTTGCCTGGAAAAAGACGCCACGGAACCAGTGATACTTGGGACTGGCCGTCGAAAGTTCCTCGACGTCCGAGGTGGGGATGGGGCCCCCAGACTTTACCGGTGGTTCGGTCCCGGATGGATTCGACACTTCGGCCATGATCGACGGTTCTTCTTCCTTTCGGTCCTTTTCTGTGCTTTCTTCTTCCCTTTAATGCAGGCAGGGCTAGCAAAAGCGGATCAGATACCTTAAAACAAAGTTGACCTGCATGGCATGATGTAAAAACGGTGTCCATGGGGTATGTTTTATTCCCGAACCCCTGTATCTTCGGCATCACCAGTTTTTGCTTGGCCGTTGAGGCAATCCGTCGAGACGATTGCGTGACCACCAGAATCCACTCACCTTGACGATGATACGGCGAGCAAAACAATTCCCCGTTTTTCATCTCTACGAACCCGGAGAATAGAATAAGTACCGCTGAGATATTTTCCCGTCTAGTGCCTTCGCTTCTCTCATGTTTGACGCAATCGTTATAGCCCAGGCCCTATCAATAGCGTGGAGAGCAGGGGATAGTGGTCTTATAAACTTGGAATTGCGCAATTCTGTATCCATAATTCACCTTGCTCGCCGTTCAAGTGTAGAGCGCGGTTCTGTCCATTCTCGATAATTCCGGGTGGTTGCTGATTAAAACTGAAGCTTTACCATAAGATTTGCATTATTGAAATGATTGTAGCCGATAATTGGGAGACGCGTTAATCATTGTTCGTCATCTCAGCTACTCAAAGACAGCAACAGCCATGGCCTCTCAGATTTCTTTCAATGAATTCACCTTCGAGGGTCAACAAAGCACCAAAAACCTCGGGTTCGATTGGGATGCCCCCTTCCCTCTAGCACTCCAAGCGGTTTCGCCCAGTTCGGCGACGTTGCAGGATTATATCGAGGCTCTACAAGAGCTTACCAAGTCCGGGAAGATCTTTGATCTTGTGAAGAAGCACGGAGGTGCTGTTCTCATCCGCGGCCTGCCAATCGACAACGCCCAGGATTACAGCGACGCTGCACATGCCTTTGGATTCCGAGCACATGAGGAGGTAGGAAGACCGCCGGCACGGACTGTCCTAGCCAAGAACGTTAAGACAGCAAACGAAGGGTATGAAAATGGCAGCTATTTAAATCAACCATCGCTATTCTGCTGTACTAATAGGTTGTAGACCTCCAGAACTCCCCATTTGGCCCCATAACGAATACGGCTGGTCAACAATCAACCCAGCATGGCTCACCTTCTCTGCCATTGTCCCCGCCGAAACCGGTAAGACCGAACACTCTCGCTCTCCTCGTAAGCTCAATTCCATAGTACTAATACTTCATATATGTCAGGTGGAGAAACACCGATTAATTCGAGCATCCAGCTCGCCTCGAGAATAAAAGCCGAAGCTCCCGAGTTCTACGAAAAAGTCCTGAAGAAGGGGATCCGATACGTCTACCGTTACGGCAAGGAGGATGTCGTATCTACCACCGGAACGAGTGTATACGGCGCGTATGGACAGAATGTCCTACCGAGCGACGACGAAAAGACCGCCCGAGCCAAAATTGAGGAGGAAGTGCGCCGACACAGCAACGTGTTCGAGTGGAACGAAGATGGCAGCTTGACGGTCACCCACACCACACCCTGTATGTGCTATATGGATGAGTATACGGAGAGAAATACTAACTCTATGGGCATAGTAATTCGAATTCACAAAGAGACAGGTCTCACGACGTGGTTTGGCAATGTCACCAGCGCGTGGGGGCGCAGTACACATCATGGAGCAACAGAGCCCCCGTTCAGGGGCGATGATGATTCGTACCACCCCCCTCCTCTGTACGGAGATGGGGAGCAGATTGAGAAGAAGTACCTGGATCTGGCGCTCCACATTGCCGAGTCATCGCAGGTACTTGTAAAATGGGAGAAAGGGGATGTTGTTCTTCTTGATGTAAGTCGGGCAGCACGACCTACCCTGCACCACTGGAATAATGAGTGCTAATCAGAGCTTGGAACATAGAACTTCGCCGTCATGCACTCGAGGTCTCCATGGAAGGGTGAGAGAAAAGTATTAGCAGCGTTATGGGATGAAGATGGGAGGGTCGACGATTTTGCAGAGGGGAAGGAAATCTTGAAAGATATCCCTCGTCGACCGATTCTTGTGGAAGATTGATGAGAGTTCTATCTATACACCAACAGCTAGGGGCAGCGAAATAACAAATAAATTTAGTTAAAGCACCCAAAGCCAACGAGTATGCATAATATGTATTCTAGTGCATAGTGCGAATGAAGCATCATTTTTGCAATGGTCTAAGACTATTTTCCAGGAAAAGGAGGGCATGGGATATATGACCAAGCACCCAGCTCCTTAATCGGTAAAGGTTGAGTTTAACCGGAAACAAAAAAGATCACCAAAGGTCACGGTCGGAATCCGTCCAATTAAACTCTCAATTAGCAGGTATTTTGTTTGCTACAGAGCACATGTGCGCCACCAGTAGGAAAAATGTAAGCGTGTTTACTGGCTGCTGTAGTTGAAGGCGGCGGCTGTGCCTGAAGGCCGGCGATAACTCTCAGTCGGCGACTAATTATTATCAGATGCCACAGTCATCCATCTGTCGGATAATCATTGCCGCCCTCGGTCAATTGGATGGGATGATGGGCGTCATCAAACGCTCCGCCCCCGAGAACCAAAGGCCGACTCTGATTCGCGAGCTGTAAGCACGGTGTCACTCCCTAGAAGAAAAGAAGCAGCCACCAGCAGCTGCACATTTCATGCATCATAAATGCAGCGTGAGCACTGGAGCAGACCGAAGGAAGGCTTGGTAAGCCAGTGGCGTTCTATGACAGCCGTGATAGGGCTGTGTTGCTGCAGCGGAAATTGCTATGGGGATTTTCTCTTCAGCCGCAGCACAAGCTGCGCAGCCGGTTACTTTAGCGTCCCAGGTTCACGCTTCCAGAGTGTGTCTAAAAAAACCTGGTGGCTTTCTAGGCGAGAATGGTCCCTAAACAGCGGACTAACTCGGGCCATCTTGCCCGGCCTGCCAGTTCAACCTTGCCATGCCACTGGACGTTCTGGCCAGGGAAATGAGATCGTGGCGAACAGGCAAGCTGTCGGGAGGTTCCGAGCCGGTGTGACTCCTCTCCTTGAGTGATTGAAATCCACCTCCCCTTCAACCTGAGGTATGAGCCTGCAGCTCCAGGGGCCGACATACAGCAAATCACCAGCTCGGTCTAAGCGCAGGATGCACACATGCATTAGATACCCCGCCCAGGCAGCACACGGAGCGGGAGAGCAATCGGAAGCCGTGCCTTGAACTTGTGCTCCTCAGCTCATCTATCCATGGGAAGCTTTCTTGTGAGCTATAGCCCCGACAACAATACGGCAGAAGCGAAGGAGGAAGCGGTACCTGCGTTCACATTCAAGGAAAATTTCGCTCTCCAAGTAGGAGAAGTAAGCGAGGAAATCGTATCGTATCATCATCATCTAGAGCGATTCTTGTACCAGCCCCCAAGGCTAGGGAGAAGGATCTACATGTAGGTAGGACGTTTTCTGTCTTCAGGTTTCCCGACTCCCCATGGGGAAGGGAACAGAAGCTCACCCTCCTGAATGGGCTATTATGAACAGGCAAATTTTGTTGGGTCAGACGGTGGCAGGGCTGATTACCCCTGAATGGGTAAGCGCCGGAACCAGTATGGTCTAGACTCAGCCGTTCTGCAAGGCACATGCATCTGCAGGAGCTGGCGAGCGTTAGATGAGATGTCCTTGGCTAATTGGTCTGATGTGTGCATGTCTTGTCCAACGGTTGGCGTTAATAGCAATCTGATGGCTTACATCTCGTGTTGCTTGTCACAACTACACCTAGGGGACTTGAAAGCTGAAAGCCGATCACCCTTGCTTTTGTTAGAGTATAGAAAGATGTTAGCGGTGATTCCTTATTTAGTTGGTGCCTCTAGACTGACCAAAGATCTGGGTGCCAGTGAGGCTATTTGTTGCCTAGCTCCTCATGCACCTGTAAGATTAATAAATGCCCACCCTCCACACTTAGGCACACTCGTCGTATAAGTGTCACGAACCCGAGTCGGAATTTTTGTCCTCGGGCTTAAAGACTTAAGGAGAACAGCCCTCACTCTGCTGGCCGAGGCCTAGGTGAACCAGCAGCAACATTCGTTTCAGTCGCCACAATGAAGCTTCCTCTATTTGGGACCAAGGCTGCCAGCCCTGCTGCTCTTCCCAAAGACATCCTTGTCTACAACAGCTCCGAAAATGCTGACAATTCACTTTATAATACCGCCAATGACCTCTTGGTGGTTTATCAGAAAGCAACGACCGACGGACTCTTATCACGGGACTTGTTCAGCCCATTCCTGTTCGCCCGTGACAACGATGGGCCCAATTGTGCTTCTGGAGAAGTAGCCTGCCAGAATACCTGCATACCCAAAGGCGCCGACTGCTGCGGGGGGACTTTCTATTGCAATGCCGGCTCATCTTGCACTAAGGATGGCTGCTGCGCTAATGGCTCGGTATGTGACAGCCAGAAGTGTGAGGGTGACCAGGAAGCATGTGGCACAGGTTGCATGCCCAAGGGCTCGATATGCTGCGGTAGTTCGTATTGTGGCTCCGGGTCGGTCTGCTCCAAGGACAACACTTGCAGTCCCTCATCGTCGAGCAAACCCTCGGCAGCCGTCCAGACCGCCCAGTCAGACAAATCAACCACAGTCAAGTCTGCGACTTCAGACAAGCCTACAACATCCGAGCAGCCCACCTCGACATCGGCGAGACCCAAGACAACTACATCTGATAAGCCAACGACAACAGATAAGCCTTCAACTTCCGCGAAACCCACATCAACAGCACAGCCCACCACCTCACAATCTTCGACGACCTCGGACAAGCGAAAAACCGACACTGTTTCCACCACTACCAGTCTATTGAGCACGAGCTCGAGCAGCATCTCTACAGACACTTCCCTTATCGTTACAACAACAATGACACAAGACCTCGCTGCGATTCTTCAAACTGCTATACCCAATTCAGCCCAGACAGACCCCGAAGCCAGGTGTTTTCTCTTGTCTGGGCACGCATCCCAATATACCACTCCTTCATGGTACACGACCCTCCCTGGCGAGTTACAAAGCTATTATGCCTCGGCTACCGTCGAAGCCTCAGCAACAGCCCACTGCACTCCAACAAACGCACTACCGAAGGCGACCTCTCAGGAATCAGGTGTACCTGCTCCGATCGTTGGTGCTGTCATAGGCGGTGCAGCCTTCGTCGCCGGTGTAGTTACACTTTTGATTTTGCTAGCCAGGTCTGGCAAACTCCCGTGGCAGGCACGCCATAAGGCGAACGATACAGATGATACAGACGATGGGGCTGAGTTGATCCCTGTCCGGGAAAAGACGAGGAAGCACTTGTCATTTGAGCCTGCTCCGACTGGCGGATTGGTTGCCCCTCCGTCCACCCTTCGCCATGACAGTCGGCAGTATGTCTCCCCACCTACAGTTCCTGCTAGACCACAGACAAGAACTGGAGAAGGAAACCAGGCTGTGCAGTACGATTGGCCCATTGCCCCATCGCCAGTGGCCTCGCCGGGACGGTCCAGCTTTCAGCCAAGCCCAGTATCCAGTAATGCGAGGTACACCCCGCCGATTTCTTTTGGTGCGGAATGGGTACCCCCGAAGGAAGGCCCCAGGGCTTTCTAATAGAACGAAGTAGATGGAAAATTACGGCTAGTGTAAAAGTATTGTGAAATGTAATTAATGAGATATGACTGAATTAGGATTATTGTAACCAACCTTGATAGTAGCCATGAATATTTACTCTTCTTGCATGTCAATAGCTTGGTCTTTCACGCTTAACGTATCCTCATGATTCCTTACACCAACCACTGAAGAAACAATGTTTCAGGTTGGTTCTGGTAAATTAGATCCTATATGGGTGCTATTCTAAAGATGCCTGAAGTTCAGCAACTACACGATGTTATGCCCCCCGCCCGAGTCTTCCGATATTAGTCTTCAGGGCTTGTTCATGGAAATTAAGCCGAAGTTCTCGATCACATTCCAACCCTTTGCCAAATTAGTCAAGATAGGAGCCTTGTTCACATGTCCACTTACCAAGACTGCATAAATTCCAACGATTTCTTGCCCGCGAGGTTCCAATGTAATCCAGTTCTGGGAAACATCGGCAGTTCTTTGCTGATCAGGGTCTTGGCTGGGATACTCGGCATTGTCGAGAATATTATTGGCGATCTTCCGCTCAGTTGGTTCCGGGGCTGGCAACACCTCAGATGTTCGACGGTTGGTACGAATCTATAGACGACTAGGTCAGCAGACAGTTATAGGCCATTTGATGCTACTCACTTTTAAACCTTTCAACATCGGCCTGGTATCGAATAATTTCGTATACAAAACGTCGATGCATTGGATTCTTTCTCCGCCAGGACCATCTATTGGGACACTGAATTTTACTTCCTCTGGGTCCTCTTCGATTTCATCCTCCGCGTCGGGGTCAGAGGTAATCATGCCGAAGGATCGATCTCTGCTCGAATCAGTATATGTAAACACGACGCTTGTGATTTGGATATTTATCCCAACAAGCGCCCAGACTGTGATCTCCTTTATAAATGGCAAAAGTTCTCCGTGAGAGCCGCCAAAATAAAAAGTATCGATCGGGCGAGACTTCCCGACGTCGGTCCCCCCCTCTAGTCCCATGTACCAGTGAGCATACTCCTGCCCGCTTCCATCCAAGAAATAATGTTCAGGTGGTATCTCCGGCATCCAGGGACAAAGGTACTTCCATGGCACATTGTTTATCCATGTTGTAGTCTCCATGTTGCTGGTGTGTATGCTCAAAGAGACCATACGAAACGCCTCAAAACGTCAGTTGGAATTGCCTTTGGTGCCATTCTTCGTAACTCACATCAAACTCCGCCTTCATCGCAAGAATATCGCCTCCGCCTCCTCGTAGTGAGTATTGAGGTAGATCTTCATATTTCCCAGCCCAGGAGCACAGAGAGCCATCCTTCATGATAGCCGCAATACCTTGAAGCCCCGACATGCCTAGGGCCAGATGCCATCCGCAAATCGGCAAAAGGCTCTCATCAATCTCAATTTGCTGCTCCCCTCGACCAGTGTACCCAATCTTAATTGATGAATCGTCGTGAATAAGTTCCA